TCCTTCGGACAAAACGGGGCGAGCCGAAAATTCTAGCTAAAGCTAGAATTTTTTACCCACCGGGCTCGCATGAATTCTCGGCGATCCCATCCCCCTGCTCAATTTTAGCTACGCTAAAATTTGCGCTGCCGGATCGCCTCCGAACCGATGCTTTCTTAACATTTGTTTGTAAAGACCGTTTTTAAAACATATAGATTCCATATTTTTAAACTATAGATTATAATTCGAGATTTTTACCCCCTTTGAAATAATGACTATTTTTTACACAGCTTTTTTACATGACCTTTTACCAGAGGGACGTCTTTGAACCATGGTCTTATTTTATGTTGTTATAAAGATAGTTTTTACCCACGGGTGTAGTAGTAATATACATGGGGAGTTATAGATAACAAAAAGTAAACTTTTTGTGATCTAGAACCCCCATGTATATTACTACTAACATCACATAGCAAATCAAAATTCACCTCATCGGTTTGTAGATAAGGGTGTTTTAACGCTTCGTTGGCCGATGGTCTGTCTTCCGGTGCGACACGTATATTGTATGCAACGTAGAAAACATTTCCAAGCTCATCAACTTAGCTCTTACGCTAAGAAATGAATTTTATAAGTGAGAATAGTGAACGTTCTTTTTCGTACAATTATAAAATTATCATCATGAGGTGAAAAATCGTTGCATTGATTGAGGTTACATAAGTGCAATTGTTTTGTATTTATTTAGCACAAGTAAAATGATGAACTTAGGTACACAAACTTTGTCCAAATTAGTATACCGCAAATACAGCATAACCATAATATGAGTTTCTACGCAGCTGTATACATTTTCATTTTTACTATTGTAAAAACTTTAGGTCAGCCTTGTAACTTTAATTTTGCACTTTATGATATAGGACTGATGATACAGTATGTATTGTCCTGTACAAGCATTATCAGCGCTATACATAAATTTCGTCATCGATGCCTAAAAAGCGTAATGCCTATATTATAATTGTTACGTGTAAAGAAATACAAATACTGTATTTTACAACCAATCGTTTAGCTTTACACAAGACAGGTTAACTGTGCTCACAAGGGAAAATCTAACTGCAGAAAAATTAATACACATGTATATAACCTCAGGTATCATAACTTTGCAGATATACATATATAATAATAGAAAGAAAAGTGCAAAATCTATCAATTAATTATATTTCAGTAGTACAAATGTACATTTACATCATTGCTTCCTACATAGTCATAGTGATTAACTGATTAGCAACCCATGCAAAAACAACTACTAACAGTCATCATTAATCATTATTCTGTAATATTATACCAACCTGCAAAAACGTCGTGGCTTCAGTAGTTTTTTTTCAAAACAACTCATAACCGCATTATAATAAAATATCATTATTGGTAATGATGAATAAACTTTGGTAGTGAATTAAACCTAGGTGAGAATATCTCAAAATATATCCCATAAATCGTCAACACAAAATAATTGTTTTCAGCATGCAAGTACAATAAAAATAATATCTTCTTTATTACACCGTTCCATTATTTTATTTATAAATAATTGTTATCAACATATATAAGGATATTGCATGACCATACGACACAAAGAATATAAGAAGTCTTCAAAGAGATGAACAACTAAAAGACTTTATGCCAAGTGAAGATTGTTTTTATACCGATGAGAATTCTGAAATTGAATGGATCTAAAAGCATTCTCAAAACGTTCTGTAAGATGACCTAAGACATGTAGTAGAAAATATAAAGATAAAAAGCTCCAACGCTGTTTTACAAACAGCAAAGATTTTCACTAAACACTGTTCTGCTCAACAACCACTTTTTTTAAGAATACATGTATTTGCAAAAAGTTCAATTGTTTCAGATATGCTCCACATTTCAAGCATAAACATAATTATGGAATTTTTATTCTTACACTGAAGAATATTTAATGAGGTAAAAGAATAATTATAATTATATAAATATTTCTCTGATGTTATAGGGCAAGCCATTCGTGAAACAATTACGAACTCTGCCAAGGTAAGCAGCACATTTGAATAGGTATTTTTCCATTATCACCATTATGGAAATTGTGGAAAATCAACAAGCAATACCTGATACTTTATACACAGAGTTGCCAAGTTTAATTTAATTGCCATAGACCATACGCATTTATTTCTTCCTTATTCAAATGTACTGCTTACCTTGGCAGAGTTCGTAATAGTTTGAATAGTTTCACGAATGGCTCGCCCTATAACATCAGTCAATGATGTCGCGAGCCTTTCGGAGGAATCGGCGGAATTCATTGAAAACCGAAATCCTTCCTTTGTATGAAATAATCGTCAATAAGAGAGTTCACCAAATACAAAGCGCGCATAGAAATTCGGTTGGAAAAAATCGCTATCTCTCGGAAGACATAAAAATCCGAAGGGGGGAGTAGGCTTTTGACTTTTTTTGCTTCGCCAAGTGTATCAAAATTCAAAATTATTTTGGTTGTTTGATATAACCAAATTTTATCAAAGGAAGTAAAACTGGTTACTTGATGTAACCAAATTATATCAAAGAAAGTAAAACTGGTTCTTTGGTATAATAAACTTAAAGCACGTTGTCACAAAAATGGTTATTTGAAATAAGCAAACTACTAAACTACTAAATGCAATTATCATATATAATTAAGTAAATCATGCAAAATAATGCGATAATGTACTTAAATAATAAATGCACATTTGGCGCCCCATAGATGTGTAGGATGTTTAATTAGAGAGCAGACAACCATGAACTGTAAGATATCAACAATTCACAAGGTGTACAAAAATATTAGAACATTTTTAAATGACAAGAAAATTATCTTTACATCAAAATTTCCCAAAATGTGTCCACGTCTAAGTATTTTCGCATCGCCTGGTTTATCTAAAAGCAAAAAATTAATCTTGAAAAGCGGGAGAGCAGTTTGCAACCGCTTGCGCAAAGAAAATGAGAAATTAAAAATCTAATTCAACTCGAAAAGTTGAAAGTTTAAATTCTGTTGTGTATTGCACGCAACGTGTATAAAATGAGCGTTCTGGCAATTTTACCGTCTTATTATTTTTATAGATAAACCAGACAATGCCAAAAAACTTCGAAATGAACACGTTTTTGGGAGCTTTTGATAAAATACTGTGTACATCCTTATTCGCGGTAACCTTCCTCTAACTTGAACAGTCATAAACAAGCACATGATGGGGCAGCAAATACCTATGACTCGGCATCTGAAAGCAGTTACTAGACCCAATTCAAAGAGAAGAACCGAAGACTGTATTGGTATATTGTGTAGCTCAATCTTGCCCTCAATTTGACTAATAGCTGAGGTGGCTCACTTTAATCTACCATAAAATTTTTGGGCGAGACTAGGTTTTACTGTCAGAACTGCAGCGATTGATGCCTTTTTTAAAAAAAGTACGCAGGGTTGCACGCGGATAGCAGTATTTGATATGAACTGGAGCTCAGGTTTGACAAATAAAGTTTGATATGCAAATATTGAACTTTTGATAGGTGCATATAGGGGTTTTATGTTATGTACCTATCACACAGACTCCAGAAAGTTCAAGAACGAAGTAGAAATTGACTTAAGAAGGAAAACAATATCAATACTTTCAAATTTAGTAAAGACCGCAAACGAGCAAAATTTATGATAAGATCAAATGAGAATTATGGATATCACTTGAATTAACACGATAAGCGACATCATGAAAACGTACGTCCTTGTATGTGTAGTAAAGCTCATAAACTTCTTTGTACCCATTTAATGCATACAACAAAGTCCATTTTTAACTCTTCAGAGAGTGAAAACATCTTAGTCTGACATTGAACTAGAATTCCTAGCTTGCAACTAGTACGACCAATCGTTTAGGCTATTAGTTAAATTCGTTTGTTTTGTGCAATGTATTGATTTTTGAACAATACTTTCACTTTGTGTATTGTAATGAAGTACAACTAAATCATAAAGGTTTCATGACTTTCTCCATTTTCAATGTTTGTACCAGACTCCCTAAAGCTTCAAAAAATAAGGGTGGAGTATATACTATACTCGTCGACTTTAACCCCACCCCAAATTTAAATCTGTTTCTACGCCTATGTATCAATCCTATGTATATCTATGAAACACCGAACCATTGGCGTTGTGGCTGGGGTACAGCCAGGGGAATACCCACGAATGATTTAAGGAGACACCACTACCAGAAGGCATATGGGGCCGCCAGAACGCATCTTTACAAACTCCTCTAAATTTATTTCAGGAAACAAAATTCAAACAAATAAAACCACTGAACGGCGGAACGGAACAGAAAAAATGGCGGACGGATCTATTTCTGCTGAGATTCACCAAAATTGACCAATATTATTTCGCATTGTAATACAATTTGTAATCAGAATGATACAATATTTTGATCTATTCATATCCAACACTTTGTCGCGTTTTACTCAAAATGACAAGGAACATATAATAAACAGGCACCGCGGAGGATCGATAATTGGGGGCTAATATTCATATATTCATATATGCAGGCTTAAGATCTTTTGAAATCCATTGTTTTCTAAGGATTATAACATGAATATATGAATATGAGCCCCCAAATCCTCCTCTGAAACTTGTATGCCGAAGGTTCATCTGAATTGTCAAAAGCTCTTTTTTGATGACGACATTAACTTAAAACTGACTTATTTTGTGTTTTTCAACACCTAAACTTTGTAAACTATAGCTTTGGAAAATCGTCCAGTTTGCACAAATGCTTCTTAAGCTATTTTTATAGTTATTATGGATATTATTATTATCTTACACAAACAATGTCATGAAGGGATTTTGAATCGAAAATGGTTAAAAATGTTGGGCGCAAGAAGACGTAAAATATCCTGACATGACGAGATAACAAGGAAAAACATAATCAAGGAGTATATGTTGAATGTTAGAAAGTATATCACTACGTATGGAAGATACAATTTATAAGTGCCTTATACATAAATTTGATAGTATAACTTACTTTCATAGTCGGGGTAATATTCCGTTCCTTCACCTTTAGACTCGTAACGTTCTGTCAATTGAAAAGTCACCAAACGTGTGACAGTATTTTAGTCAATAAAATTCGACTCAGAAAAAACCTTAAAGATATATCTATAGTTGGTGCATAAAGACATAAAATCTCTAGACGACAATTATCGAGATAAAAAGATCAATAAAGTGTATGTATGTTCTACGATAAAATGTTGGCAAATATATCCATATTTTTGCATGTATAGCTTACACATTTACGAGGGTCTCGCATAAATTTGATTGTATATAACTTACCGTCATCCATGAAGTAACTTTTCATTCGTTGAAGGCAACTCTATAAATTCTGTATTATCCAAGGTAAATACATCGAACTTAGGAAATTCTGCAATCATAAATACATATTTATCAAATCTTCGTCTTTCTCACTCGTTGAAATGAAAAGATTAAAATAGAATTCTTGCACAGTTTTAATATTCAATCATTAAGGCGTTTAAATTACATATAACATCATAACCTTCAACGCCACGTCAACAAAGCAACTTTCCGTGATTATTAGCCTTAACATAGATGAAAATTTATAAAAATTAAACATACGCAGGAAGAAAATTTTCAGAAATTGTACTCATCCTTGTTAAACGTTACTTGTATCAATGTTTTAAAACATCCAACTGTATGAAGTTAATCGTCAAAATCTACGATAATCATTTGATGCACGCCAAATAAGATTTTTTACAAATTATTGTCGAAACAAAATATTTATCATAATAGTAGCAAAGTAGCTACATCTTAGGGAAAGCTTATTATTCACAGATTCTAAAAATTATGATTACCCAACAAAACAACAAAATCACAAAAATTATCACAGCAACAAGGTAGCTATAACAAGGTATAGAAAAGACTACTATCGTCAAGTTTCATCTTTATACACTTGATTTAAACAAATTAAGTTTACTTTCACCAATTATGATAAAGCTAGCACAATCAGGGACACCTTAAACTCAGTAAGGCAATGGGGTCTTTGTCAATGTGAACGTAATTGGAAGTTACTTTTTTCGGTACAAATCTCTACCAAGAAATTTAAAAGCATAAATCAAAACACAATCCGCTTATTGTAATCACAGCAAATGGAACGTTTTATAGTATAACTGTTTAATGTTTGTGATTAACCATTGATTGCAGTCAACTAGATTTAAAAAAAAACACAGGAGATTCTAAATTTGGACAACCGAATCAAACAAGGCGCTACCATGCAACACCTAATGAGAAGAAAAAAACCTTTAAGGGTGTTGGCATGTAAGATATACAGTATTAGAATTTAGAATAGTCCGTTCATCTAAAGTGCAAGAATTCATTGAAAAATGTGATATTACGCGTGTCAATGACACACTTAATTGCATAACTATTTAAGATGCAACTATTTAAAAGAACAAGAAAAAGATCTTTGTTCATTCAATACTAAGGATACCGAGAATTTGTCTATTTTTATTTTCATATTATCATTCTAATCGAATTCTTCCTGGTAAATGTTCAAAATTATTTTTTGTTAACTGTAACTAATAAGAGACTGAAAGATATGTGTTAAAAACAGAAATTGGGGATTTGTACATGGAATTAAAGACTGTTACGCTCAAAAAAACTAAATTGAATTTGTGAAGTCTTTTGTTTTGTATAAAGGTAATAATAAAATGTTAAGAGCTTTTCATTTAGGCATTGGAAGTTCCATTTAATCGCCAAGAAACTGACTTTCTATCTTATAGAAAAATCCAATACAAACTATTGGCGATTGAATCAAACGCCTGACGCATGAAATGTTCTTGAAATGGTTATTTGGGTATTGAAAGAATTCACAAATGCAATCTAGAATAGCAACGTGTAGTTTTTATCCAGTAAAGAACATGTCACAACTATGTTTGTAAAAATTCTCTCACCTTTAAAAGTTTCAACAACCTCCACTTCTTCACCGTTTTTGCTTCCGTCTGACAGCACGAATGCCTTCTTCTGCAGCTCGTGACCTTGAGAGAAATAAATATTTCTTTTACAATGTAGCATTTCAAATTCAAAATATTATAGCTGGAAAAACATGCTTTATGGAGATTTCTCTAAGCAGATTTCGTAAATGACTGCATTTCAGTATGCTCACAATCGTAAAGTTGAAATGTGTTTGAAAAAAGTATCGTCTACAAATAAACAGTTATTACAAATAAACATTAATTTCAATAAATCTTGCGTAAATCTACCAATAGCAAAACACAAATTGTTTATGAATGGACTGTTTCTTAAATTATTCAACTGGAATTTTCTTTATATCATACTGGATGATGGCTTGGGCAGCAAGAAACAATCCTTACTTCATCGTTTCTGTCACCATTTTGTTGACTTTGCAACTGCTCATGAAAAACTTCGGACATTCTGTGAACTTGACAAAATGCATTAACAAAATAGGTACGCTTGCGTACACGTGGGAAGCCTGTAAAACAGGAGACGCAAAAAGATTGAAACAAGTGGAGTTGCAGTCACTTTAACACAGGATAAGAATTTTCTAGTATGCATAAATTTAACAGTTCGCAATTGTTATGAGACCATCCGGCAATTGTGATGAAATATGAGTTATGTTTGATCCCATTTATCTATGCTTCAAGACCTGGTATTTAAATTCTGTTCAAACAATATTACTATTTTGAAACATTTAATTCATTGATTGACAACTTGTTTTATCATGATACTTTGAACTCCTGATACTAACAACAGAATTGTTATTATTTGTGGGGATTGAAAAAGGTTTGAACTTTTTGTAAATAAGAAATATGATAAAAAGGCAGTGCATAGAATGACATGATGTCTGCCACTCTCTTGTTTTGCATAGCCTAATTTCTTGGACAAATAAAATAACTCACCTTCAATGTTGCAAACAGACCAGTGAGACCTCTCCAGAAAATTGTACAGCTCAATATTAGTGCAAACTAGATAGACAGTAATGAGTAATTGTAAACAAACATTAAAATACTCATTGCAGATACATTTTCATTCAGTGACTGTGTCCAAATTATGAAAATATGCATGAATTTAGCATAATAATAATGGAATCCAACAATTATATACTTTTTTGGAGCCCATTTGCAGATAGTTGAGGTGTTTTTTGATTGCATAACAAAATAATGTGTTAATGAAAACTATTAGTAAGAAATAGCTTTAGGTGAACTTATGTAAGGAATTCTCTTTTCAATAATACAAAAATCAGGTGCACCTTTTACCTTTACATGAAAATACGATCTTTGGCCGACTCTAACCAGCAAGGGCGCGAATTTTTCCAAAGTATTTTTTCACAACAGAGGAATGTCTTCAGGAGAATGGGCCTGAAATTAAATAAGCAAATACTTGATTTAATAAAGTTCGATATAATTACTGGTAAACAAAATAATAGCACATAATAAATGCTTAAAATTTCCCAACTAAATAAGTCTTCATTTTCAACATATCACAAGTGCTTGATACCTTCATATTAATCACCAACAATTTACACATAAATTCATTCAATTTTCCTTGAGCTTCGAAGAAATAATCAAAAACAAATCCTAAAACACTTCTCCAATGTTTTTCCAGAAATATATCCCACCATTACCCATGACATCATTTTTGTCTAACCTTGGACATTCTTTTACTGGACTATTTAATGTCATGGCATTTTTCATTTTATCTTAGTATAATTGCATTAATCATGTCAGATGATACCACAAATAAAAATAAGCCTTCACTTTGTAGCCCTTGTTCAAGCTTTCATTTAATATCATACTGCAACTTATCTCACTATATCTCATTCAAATTTAATTATAAATTACATACTTGAATAATTACAAGCTAATATACACAAAATCAACAAAAGAGCCTGAATTTTATCTATAACCATTAACCAATACCTGCATAAAACTATTTTCATATAAGTTCATTTTGTAAATATTTATATTTTTGCTAACATTTAATAAAGATGTTTCCATTTGAAAAAAATTCAAAACATTCATCTTACTTGTCCCCAGTTACTTTCTTCAGTCGTTAATAAAACTTATTATTTTTCCATGGCCTGATGTCTTTTGAACAGCCACAAACGTCTGCCATCCACAGCAACCAAACACAAGTTCCTAAACTGCATAAATGATCGGTTTTAACATAACAAACCAACAAGGGCCTAGAGAGGAAATTTGATCTATAAAAAACATTAACCCATATATATCCAGCATATCTCATATCTACTCACATTGAAGCGTTGATGATAAACAAACTGTGAATCATTGTGATATCTACATATACTAAACCTATAATAATATATTTCTCGTTTACTTAACTAACTTTGATGATTACAATACTATTTTCATGTGAGTTCATTTCGTAAATATTTACTAATTTTATTTATATTATACGTACAAAACCAACAGAAGAGCTTTGAAAGCAAACAAATATAAAACCAATACATACTGTCACTACCGACTCACCCTGAATGGTTGATGATAAACAAACTATGAATCATTGTAAAATCCACAGATAATAAAAACCTATAAAAATGTATTTCTCCTTTACTTCACTAGCTTAATGGTTATAAAACTATTTTCATGTAAGTTCATTTCGTAAATATTTATTTATATTATTGCCAACATTTAACCAACATTTAAAAGCGATGTTTCCATTTAAAAAAAATTAAGATTCATGTAATCATCTTACTTGTCCCCAGACTACTGAAGACTCAACGGCCTTTACCAGCTGGCTTACCTAACTTACCTTAATTATGGTAGTGAAGATTTTCGTCTCAATCCCATGATCCTAATTGATAACAAGTCAATGAATTGTAAGAGTCCCAAACAATTATAAAATATAACGATAGATGAAATACCATGCACTAGGTACAAGGAGAGATGTTCTGTTTTAGTCGATTTTAATTTTGTTTATAAAAACGTGTTTCGAGATAGGAATGGACCGTGACTTCCTTCAATTTTTTATGAACATGCTACAGAGTCTCCGGAATCTACACAAATGCTAAAACCTTAAACATAGACTGCATTCTGGAAAATAACTTTGTTCAAATCCTGAGTTTAATAAATAAGTCTCATTCTACTCGCTACGAACGGATCGAGAAGCTCTTTCGTTCCTCTGGAAACCAAAATATCAACTTAGTTGACTGTACCAACGAAACTAAAAACCTCTGTGTAATTTTATTACTAGCATGTTTGTGTTTATGAAAAGGAAAGAAGAATGGAGAGTGAATTTCCGTAAAAAATAAAGAATTTTGATGCATTCATTTTTATACCAACTTATTGTAACAAATGATTATGGAAGTATCAAAGTATGAAATGAACGATGAATACAAACGTTATTTGTAAAGTTCATTTCATTATCAGGTATTGCTGGCAACTTGATTCTATTGCTGTATGAAATCTTTTTTAACTTATCATTAACAACAAAGTGCATGTCACTTAATTCTATCAGCTGCTTTTCCACCAAACTGAAACTCGCAGTCTGGCACTGGAAAGTATTTACTTTGTTCTAATGTTATAAAATAGATTTGACTATGTTCTCGTGGAGTTTTTAGAAAACCTATATCAAAGAATAATTTTCTACTTCTTTCCAGCAACCCAGTAAATACCTTTGCAATGACGCAAGAAAAGAGAGGGTCATAGCTGAGCCATCAAAAACACAATTGTTGACAACAACTGGTCCACATGATCTTCCATTTAATGTTAAACTAAAGCATTCACGAAACAATACACGACCAAACAAACATTTGATTAAAAAAGTGACCATGTATTTTCATTTACACTAAAATACTTTTCAGTATTAAGAATTACAGGTCGATCACGGTTTGTCTCAGAAAACGATCATCAATCATTTGTTATTGATGATTGATGATAGATGAGTGATTGCACATTTAAGTGTCTCTCTCAGGCAGTCATTCGGTACGACTAGGACTGTTTATGGTTTGGGTTTGCTTTTGATGGCCGATCTCCAAGCCGCTCTGTTGCTTGCGGCCGTCTTCCAGTTGTTAGGTAGGATCTGTCTCACTTTCACGTGTCGTTTTACGACGTCTTTGTATCTGAGTCTGGGTCTTCCTTGGTTTCTCTTCCCTTCGCATAGTTGTGAGAACAGCAATTGTCTTGGGAGTCTTTCCTGATCCATCCTGTATACATGCCCCAGCCAACGAAGATTTCTTTCTATCAGAATATCTGCCATCGAGGGGAGGTTAGCACGTTTCAGGATTTCAACATTCGTGATCTTGTCCTGCCATTTGATGCTCATGATATCTCTCAGCTGTCTCATCATAAAAGCATGTAGTTTCTTCACCTGAGTTCTGTAGATGGTCCAGGTTTCTGCTCCATAAAGGAGGGTTGATAACACCACAGCTCTGTAGACTTTGCATTTTACCCTGACTGACACATGCCTATTGTTCCACAGTCTTTCCTGGACCTTGCCAAATGCTGTACTTGCCTTCCCAATCCTGGCCTTCAGCTCTATCACTATTTTTGAAGATCTGGAAACAGTGCTTCCAAGATATGTGAAGTCCGTGGCTTGGACAAGCGGGATTTGATGGATGGTGATGTCTTGTGGCTCAGGAGGGGGATTGTGAAGTTTGATCGGCTGATACAAGCACTCTGTTTTCTTGATGTTTATCTTAAGGCTGAACTGGGTAGCAGCCTTTGAGAATCTGTCAACAAGCAATTGTATATCCGATGCAGTATGAGCCACCAGTGCACTGTCGTCCGCAAACAGCATCTCTCTGACGAGGTGTTTTGTTGTTCGTGATTTTGCCTTGAAGTGGGAGGCATTGAAGAGATCTGCTGCGTGTCTTGTCTGGATGTAAATCCCTTTGTGAATGTCTTTAAAAGCCACATGCAGCATAGCTGTCAGGTAGAGCGAGAATAATGTTGGAGCAAGAACGCAGCCTTGCTTCACACCATTCGTCTCGGCAAATTCTGATGAAATATCTTTCCCTTGAACTACTTTTGCCTGCATACCATCATGAAGCTCCAAGCAAATAGATTTGACTATGTTCTCGTGGAGTTTTTAGAAAACATATATCAAAGAATAATTTTCTACTTGTTTCCAGCAACCCAGTAAATACCTTTGCAATGACGCAAGAAAAGAGAGGGTCATAGCTGAGCCATCAAAAACACAATTGGTGACAACAACTGGTCCACATGATCTTCCATTTAATGTTAAACTAAAGCATTCACGAAACAATACACGACCAAACAAACATTTGATTAAAATAGTGTCCATGTATTTTCATTTACACTAAAATAATCTTCAGTATTAAGAATTACAGGTCGATCACGGTTTGTCTCAGAAAACGATCATCAATCATTGGTTATTGATGATTGAGTACACATTTAAGTGTAGTGTACAAAGAAAAGTTAAAAACAAACGACAAACCAGGTTGCTAATTACAAAATAACATTTCTGTTTTGTTTTCTTTAGACGACCAGCCCCAACAGCCATTGCAAGTTGAAAACAAGACTAGCAATAGAATATGTTCGTAGTCTTCTCCCGGATAAACCACCACAAGATCGTCCCGTATCTCGACAAAATAGTTTGAGAAAAAATCGACCGTTGAAGACTCTTTTTTTCAGGCCAACGAGGCCAACTCTTCGCAAAAGGTTTTTTTTTCAGCTAAAAGCTTACTACAGTGAGTTCGTTGTAACTTACAACTTGTAACGAGGAAAAGCCAACTGAAAATTACACTGTATGCTAAAAAGACATTACAATAAGAAAATATGACGAGAAAATATTCAAGCAAAAATTTTTCTTACATCGAAAGGTAAATTTTCAAACGGTGTCAGAAAGTGTTTGTCTTTTTTTGACATTTCAGTGGATTTAAAGATTTCTTTTTCAGAAGAAAAAGGAAACTTGAATATCCAGTTTCATAAAAAATATTGAGTCTATAACTCGCATTCTTACTTTTTGCGGAGCGATTGTCATTTTCATCGATTTGATAGTGCTTGAAATAATAAATGGTTGTCATCTCGATATCGATAATTGAACATCCTTAAAGACTTTGATATGTTTTAATGGAAAACCGCAGTTTAAGAGCAGATCGACGTAATAATACTTTTGCACTGAGGATGATGTAGAATTGAAATAAATATAATTCAAAAGATTTTCTTCGTGAAGATAAAACTGACTAGTGAAATGAAATCAACTGAGGTCAAACTTAAGATCTAGGATCCAAAAAATACAAATTGTTTATAAGCACGCGAGAAACACGAGTGAGACGAATGACGAGGACAAATTAGGTTTCAATTTTTGGCTTCAATTATCATTCCAGTTATTCAAATATTGAGTTCACTGTGAACAATACGTTCGCCATAAAAAAAGGTATGTTTTACTTTTTTCAGGAAAACAGCTGAACAGAGATGAAGTGAACGAATTGACAGCCACGGCTTGTTATTTGTTCATACTTCGTGGAAATAGACAGAAACACTTTTTGAATGAAGGTATCCATTATAGTTTATTTGAAGAACAACATAAAATTCTAAAAATAATTTAAACCAACTTTCATCTTTTATCGTGTATTTTATGTTTCAAAAGTTATTTTTGACCATTCTGACATATCCTACAACTTTCCAAGTATCAGGAATAATTTTGGTGCTACAGACAAAAGCAAGTGGACGCTTCTTGTGCTGGTAAATGATGAGATATACAAAGTGAATGTTGATCGAAATGTCGATAGTTATCTGGTACGTTTTCTTCCAATGTGCATTTCATGATTTATGTCACGAATGAATTGCTTATTTGTGCACTTTTTGGGACAATTTTTAGTCTTATGTATGTTTTTGTTCTTTAAATGTCAGATGAATATCGACGGAGCTTGTGTGAAATTCCATTCCTCGTCTAACATTGCAACAAATCTTGTAGAAGCAACAATAAATAAGAAAAAGGTCTTTGTACAGGTAATTTGTTTTCGCATTAATTTGCAGGTAAAATTATCGTTTACATCAAATGAAATAATTTTTAGAGTTTGTCAAGAAATGGTCAAAATATCAAACTTCAAGATTATGGATCGAAGGTATGAATGACTTTCAAAATTAAGATATTACGTTGAATAAAAACTGTCAATTTAATTCATGCTATTTTTTAACGCGAGTCTTGTTAAGCGAAAGTTCTAATTATTATTTTCAAACCTTTTATCATCCATTGTAAGTTTGATGTCATCGTGATGAATGAAACTCGGAATGATTACTCACGAAATATGAAAGAAAAACCAAAGGTATCGATTTTATGGTTTACATAGCTATTTATACTTTCAATTTTATACATTTTCCCTTTTATTGAATTAAACTAAAGATAATAGTACCAATTGCCCGAGTAAAAGGGTAAAATGTTCTTTTTCTAAATTTTTTGTAAATTTTCATTTTCAGGAGGATTTGACGCCATTTTTGGATCCACCAATGCCAGGCACAGTGATCTCAGTTACATGTGAACCAGGACAAGAGGTAGTTTTGAATATAAAAATCAATTGTAGTGCAATTACTTGGTTAGGATACTCTAAAAACTTCACTTTCTAGGTAGCTGAAGGTCAAGAGGTTTGTGTTGTTGAAACTATGAAAATGTAAGATAGTTGATGCGTTCAGAAATCTGGCCGAATTAAAAAAGTGAACTGTAAACCAGGAGATAAAATATTGGAAGGTGATCGACTTATTGAGCTCGAGTAACACTGACTTTTAAAGAAACTTTGCTAAACTGGAGTGATCCATAAACACAAGAAAAACAACAACTTTCAACACTTTCCTGTTCAGACAATATTTGAAGTGAAGAAATTTAATCAACAGTGATTTTCTTGTATCATGTGAATAAATAAGAATGCATTGTTTCAAATATTATAGTTCAACAATGAAGGAAAATATGATATGACTAACCGATGCAGCAGAGTACTGTACTTACGCACGATAATTATGTACGTGTATAAATGATTATGATTGTTTTATTGTTTATTTGTTTGTGTGAATTGTGAATATTTAGTTTCAAATGCAAAAGTTCAACAGTGCATGATTGTGAATGAATATTAATTCATGTATAAATCATAAACTGTACAACGCCATTGTTTTCAATCAATACAAAAGGGTAGTTTCCTTCATAATCCCTTTTCAACCCAAATTTCATTTCATCATTTTTGATGCTAACCCAAGGCATGAGGTCATTATTAAATGCCTTTCCAATATTTCCATGTCTGTCAATGGCAATTCCTCCTGCGCGTCCTGAAAGTCTTTCTTTAACTAAATTCACAGCATCCTGTACAGCTTCCTTTTATGAAAAAAATAAACAAAAAACGGAATATGGGTATTTGTTAAAACTGTATTGTTGAAATTTAATTTTATAAATTTCTTATTGGACGGTGTTTTATCACGATATCAAAAAAAAGCAGTTGACCAGTCTTTGAACACTGTGGTAGAAATGTTAGGAATCGACAAATATATTTTTAAGGCTTAAAATGTTAAAAAAAGAGGGATTGTTTGTTAAAGGAATTTCGTTGAGATTTGAGAAGCGACAAAAGACTTGGGAAAATAAGTTTTTAATTTAGACTAGAGCTTGAGATGGCATGTTCAGTGCAATCAAATGTTTTGCCGTGTACACGTATTAATCGACAGCAACATTTTCTTCAACAAAAAAATGATTGAGTTTGGGTTTGATATTCTTTTATCTATAGGTTGATTTCTTAAGGATTAACAGTTTGAGGCACGGTCCTTGCAACAAAACGAAGTCTATTTGCATGGTGGTGAGAAAAATCAGTAAACTTTCGAATGTGAAGTGACTTGAATTTGTGTCAAGAAAAGTGTTGAAAAAAAACTTGACTAAATCATATAATTAAATAAGTTGAACGTATCAATTGATAAAATTGAATGGACTTGATAAATCTAACAATTTTTGTCCACGTCATAAGTTTCATAACCTAACACAAAAAAAGTCAATAGTACATAAAATACAATACATCGAAACAATGAAAAATTTTTAATATTTTGCATTACTTGGGCACTTCCTGATTCCATGTCAATTACAACTTTTCTTGTAAAATTCAATTTTATCAATTTCTCTACATGACCAGTTGCTGCAGCTGCTCCATAATCATTTGCATATCCACCACAACCAACTAATGCAGTGTCACTAACACAACCTTTAAGTTTGCCGGCAATATCTCCTAAAATAATGATTAATTATGAATATGATGACATGCAGATAGCGATGTAGAACTGAATTCATGTATGATTTTTTATATAAATACGACCTGTATATTTAGTCATTACCTGTTGACGTTGCACATGCCAATTTGCCATATCTATCAATGACAACAGCACCTACAGTATTGCAAGCGTCAATTTCTTCAAGTATAATTTTAGGCGCATCAGCAGGAAAAGGTCCTCCCTCCATAAAATATCTCGTATAATCATTGTAATATTCATGTGGAAGACATCTCTGTCTCTTTAACAATTCATTCGGTTTGCACCAATCCAATCCATTATCCTGAGCAAATTTCAGAGCACCATCACCATAAAGAGCACATTCTGGTGTTTTTTCCATTATTTTTCGAGCAAGACAAACTGGATTTTTGAAATTTCGACCACAATATACAGAACCTACAGTAAACAGAAAAGAATTAAAAAGCTTTTTACACTGATTACTCACAATTTTAAGAGTACCAAGCTTATTCTCGAGTGATATCATGATATTTGCTTCGTACAAAATGTAAACAGCATGTATGGCCAATTTCTAATGTTGATGCAGCGGGAAATACATTCTGGTTTTATTTGTTATCAAAAAAATTCAAAGTTAAAGTATCACAAATGGATTTTAACCTGTTTGTAAAGTGTCTCCATCCATAATCATTGCATCACATTCAACTTCTCCTTCACAGTTCAATGGAGATCCACGAGCTATCATGAATAAGTCACTGCTCTCTAAAATACTAACTGCCTTTTCAACAGCATCAACAGCAGTGCCACCATTCTGAGGTGATAAAAAATCATAATGTTAAATGCAGTTAACAAAAATTCTGGCGAAATTTTTTAAACGAGTTACTTACCGTTAAGACTGCATATCCCTCTCGGGCTGATTCTTTCAGTTTTTCATAGTATTCATTAGTGATATGTTCTCTAATAAGGTTGCTATAGACTCCTCCCATGACAATAATTGCGGGGGCTCCATCGAAATCTTAAAAAATTACCCATTATTAAATTTGATGCCTCACTTTAAAGCTGAGCGATTTATAAAATTGTATGAATGATGTTGTTTGCTGATTACATGGATGAATATGCAAAAAGTAAATTTTTTCCTGATTCATGCATATCCCATAGTAAAGTTTTTCCTTTTTGTCTTAGTTTAGGAGAAATAAAAGTTGAAATTTCCCGTGCGCACTTCTTTTTTATCACATTTGAGAAAATTGATAATTGATACTAAGACAACTTATCAAAATTTTACTCTATATTTGGGTTGACTAAAATTGTTTTAGGTTATGGGATTATTTCTTGATGAAAGCAGCAAAAAATAATCCCTCACTCTCAGACACCTCGAGTGGGGCATTCTTAGAATAATCATGGAAAATATCTTGATGTACATAACTGCGTGTCACTCTTAGACATTTAAATATTGAGTTCACTGGGCTTTAATTAGCGGCTGACGCAAAAAAATGGAGGATTTGTTCCATTACCGCTGAGATTTACCGAAATTGACTGCTTTTCCGAATTTTTCTCAATTTTTCTTTCCCCCCTTGAGAAAGAGTGAGGAAAAAGCATGTGTTTTTCGCATATTTAGGAAGCAATTTTATGATGAAAATCACTTTAAAAACATAAATTTTATAAAAGCGAGTCTACTGTAGCTGTTCTACATTGACGAACGAGCTATTTGTTGGCCACATATGAATGCAGATGTGCCCGTCGTAACTGTCCTTTAATGATTTGCTCGATCAAAGTTTGTAGTATGCACGAAATAAAATGTATCAAATTTTATCTCAACGGATCACGAGAGAAATGTTAGCTCATTTATTCTCATTAGTTTTTTGCTTTCTTTTATGTGATGGCCTTTTTCAAAACAATTGTAGGATTTGTTTTTGTACATGCATCTTGCGTTTCGTGAATGAACAATGAAAAAAAAATATGTATACAAATCACGAGAACCTTTGAGATTTTCGTGGTCTTCTGAACAAGAACTACATCAAATACTTGTCAAGTTGTAGCATATTTGATATCGTTGTCATGATTGTGAAATGACAAAAAATCCAAATAATTGGTGACAGAAGATTTACTGGAGTCTCCCCAGAAATTCAAAATAATCTTATCAGCTGTCTTGATTCAATTATTGAAGATGAAATCAGAAAGGAAGTAAATGATTGCACGTTTATGAGTATTCAGGTTGATGAAGCATCTAATGTGTCCACCAAAGAGCAGCTAAGTGTTATTGCTTGGTTTGACAAAGCAAGTGAAAATATTGAGAGGCAACTAGGATTTGTGGATGTAAGTATGAACAAAAATGCCACAGCATTATCACAAGTTGTCAAAGATAAACTTGGTGAGTGTTCTAATATAAAAGAAAATTTGGTTTTGCAAACATATGATAGTGCTTCTGTCATGTCTGGCCATATCAATGGTGTTCAAGCATTGGTTCGACAAGAGTATCCTTTTGCCTATTTTGTTCATTGTGCAGCTCTTAGTTTGAACCTTGTCCTATGCCGGTCAGCCGCATCAATTTCTCCTGTTAAAATCTTTTTCATTAATATAGGTGCATTTAGCACCTATATTTTCACATTACAAGCAATGCTTTGCCCAAAAGAAAAGCTTTTCTCACATCAAACAAACTTAAGTTTCCTGCCCCAGGTGAAACAAGATGGTATTATCGCTCTAGATTAATCAATGTATTGTACAAATACTATAAAAAAGTTTTAGATATTTTTGAGGGGGTACTTAAAAAACCAACTGGATGGGATGTGCACTGTCTAAAAAATGTTTGCAACGGCAATATACAGAATTCAAAACATACATGCATTAAGTACAATAAATGAAGAGGACAACTAGAGTGAAAATAACAAATATAGTGTCATGAACCGCTAATTTATAGTTTGGCCATCGAAAATAAAAACTCATTCTGTGTCTTACTTGGAAAACGTTTCTTCAGAACAGGTCTTGTCTTCCATTCACTCAATCTTATGGTTCTGTGAACTAGAAGAGGCAGTTCCTTAAAACGTCGAAGAAAATACTCTTGATAGTTTCCATCTTTAACACATGATGACAGTTGTGGACGAGATTCATCATGCCAATGCTGGCGAACGTTTCGTAAAAAGCTTAGGCAACCTAACCATGTAGAGTCGGATACTTTATTGAAATGATTAAAAAATTCAGGATTGATACGGTCCATCCAATCTATTGAAAGATTCAACTTCTCACGAAGATTTGAGGGAAGAGAATGTGGAGATGATTTCTTTATTTCTGGTTCATTCCCAACATCACACAGAAAATCGAAATTCTCCTCATCGGTTTGTAGATAAGGGTGTTTTAACAACTTTTTGGCCGATGGTCTGTCTTCCGGGTCTAGCTGTAGCATCCACGATAAAAGGTCTTTGAGCGTGGCATCCTTGATTTTGTCCAAGCCAACTGGGTTTCCCTTTAATAAGTTGTCCAGTAAAAACCGTTCAGCTCCAAAGGGATGTTTCCCCTTTGTTGCAACATAATAAGCCACCATTCCGGCATTCTATTTTCAATAAAAAATGGAGTTAATTTGTTTGTTAGTTGAAAAAAATACAAGTTCAGTCGAAAAAAATCAGAATAATGTTCTCAAATTAAGAGTCGTAGCCACAAATTTTTTAGAGCAATCTAAATGAGAGACATACAATCGTAAAACCAATAAGGCAATAACAACAATTCGTTATCCTACATATACATATTTTTATATTTTATAAAGTACATGTTGTATTTCGCCACTATATGACTGTACAATGGAGGTAAACAAAAATTTTATTTAAAAGTGATAATGATATCAGTGGCAGTGATAATGATATCCCTACCAAATACAACATTGAAATGCAAACACAACATTGAGCTGTAGTTGACCTCTAGTTCTACTTCAAGAACTTATCATAATGTCAGACTCTTTTTTGTAACGAACTTTATTAATTGTATCATCTGATGCGTTATATGACTCTGGAGCTATCCAATTTTTAGCTCCTCTTTGTATGCTCCAATGTGTCGAAGTTTCATCAGATAATAACATATGACTTATACCAAAGTCAGCGATTAAAAAATTTCCTTGTACATCTCGAAGAACGTTTGATGGTCTTAAATCCCTGTGAAGAATAGGACACGGATCCCTGTGAAGATCAGCCAAACCTTTTAAAATCTGCGTAAGAATTGTAGGAAGTGCTTTTTGAAGATCTTGCAAAGTAGAAGATTGCACAAAACTTTCTAACGATTCTTCACACAAATCTAGTATCAAATACAAATAATCTGTGCCTGGTTCTTCTTCAAGATACCAATAATTCACAACATAATTTGAACGCTTGGCATTCAACTCATTCAAAATGTCTTTTTCTCGTTTGGCTAACTCCGCGCAGTTATCTCGAAGCAATCGTTTTACTGCTTTTCCGTAACCATCTTTTCCGAGTCCAAGGTAAACACGAGTTCCATCACTTCCTTTACCAAGCAAAAACTCTTCAGAACAAATAAACTTTACACCTTTTACGAGTTTAACTTTTCTTGGATTTTCTTGCCCATAATCCTCCATCATTCTGAACTTTTGCTGGTGCATTCTTGATTTATCATAACATTTCCATGGTTGAGACAGCAATTCTTCAATTAAAAAGTAAAGTAGACTATTTAGAAAGGAATTTATTTTCTAATTATACACACATTAAGAAAATGAGGCTATTAGACAAGATTTGAAATACCTACACCACTTTGCCCGTTAAGGTGAACTGAGTTTTATATTTAGCTACGAAATAATAACATAAAAACATAACAACAATTTCAATTGATAATCAGAAAAAGAAATATCCAAAAGAATTTGAGACGTTTGCAAATAATAGACATGATGATAACATGTCTATCACGACATATTGCAAATGATAATGGACATGATGATAGAATGATAATAACCTATAAGACAACTTTCAGGTATTCCAAAATGTTTGTAAGAATTTTCTAAGTTGGCATTCACGTAACATTATAAATGTGAACATTACATAAAGTTCTATGAAAATAAGCACACAAAGTGAATTAAAATCACTTTAATTTTTAAATCCCCGAAGTGTAATTAGTTGCACAGCCATTGAATTTTTAATGTTATAATCTTGTGCAAACAAATTAATGTGTTTACAATTTTTTGATACATGCTGTACAGGGTGTCTCAAAAACTGCTGTACATCTTTGAAATTAGCCGACGTTTAAAATTTGCAAGATTCAACAGTAATTGATTCCCAAATACACCCTGTAAATTGTTTCTTACGGATGATAACACACATTTATGAATACAAGCTCTCCTCCCCAAATTATTGAGCTGGCTACTCCGCTTTTTTTTAAATCCTGATTCACATTTTCACACTTTTAAAAAATGATATCGTCCTTTGACGTATTAGGAGGTCCATTTATCGAAAGCGAGTAGTTACAATTGTATTTACACTAGGAAATTAATGAGTAATGATAATATCAACACCACTAATAACGTAAAAAGATTGGAAAGGAGCAGTTCTAAGCGTTTGTCAAAGAATGTTTTACAGACCGGAGCATACCAGTTGCAGATACTTTGAAAAAAATAAACTGACAGCATTCAGCATTCCCATGTATCACAAGAATCATTTCATAATCTGACGCCAAAGTGGCGGTTTTGAAGAAGGAAGAGAATGAGCAGAGGTTGTTTTCTGTTTATGCTGAAAGGATGATGATGGTAGAAGCATTGCATGGTGTTGATGAAAGAGTAAAATTAAGAGGAAATGAATTTACTGAAAGACATCATAGGCTTGAAGTGGCGTAGCTAGCCCGCAAATTTGTTCGTTCTTAGTAAATTTTACAGCATTGTTATTTTTCATTTCTTGAGAAAGTTATTGTTTTACAGTGAGTGAACACATTGAAATTTACATAGCATTAACAAAGTTGTTGGCTGGCTATATGCCACTTGAGGTTTGTGGATGACCAATGCATATTAGCTGGGACGAAAAAATTATGCAGAATATCTTAGATAGATTGGGTGATGCATCAGAAGAATATGGTATGAGCATAAATATAAAGACGACAGAAGTTACTGCAGTTTACAAACAGTTTGGTGGCAATCTTGATATGGTTTTAAAGAAGTTAGAAAATGAAAAATTGAATCATCAAAATAGTTATTTAATGTTTATAGTTTCTTCTCTGGATCATAGTCATGAAAAGCGAGCGATAGATATGAGAAAGATAGAGGCACTTGTGATGTGAATCACGGGAAGAATGGAGAGTAGGCTGAATAGAAAGGAAAACAACAGAAATGATGTTGATGGTGTAGATGAAAAAAGAGAGCTGTTGGGTAGAAATACCATAGAATTAAAAAGAGGTAGAATTGACACATCTTTCGCGGTAATAACTTGTTGAAAGAAGTAGCCGAGAAAAGAGTTTATAGTAAAAGACCGAAGGAAAGAAAAAGGAATGCTAAGTAACTTGAAAGAGAACGGATATGCCAACTTGAAAAGAAAACCAGAGAAGTGAGAGACGTGGAGAAGATAAATGCTTAAATAGACCTCTCGGTACATAAATAACTTGACGGCGACAAAAACTATTGTCGTTAATGCGTTATTTATAAACATTTGTAAGTATTATACTACATGATAAACTAACCTTCATCATCATCGTTACTATCTGCAATGTATAAAAAAATCACATTATTATCACATTTACGCATAACACGTCAAATTGAATATCTTATTGTTAAAAATTGTGACTAAATAGAGAGGAAAAGCCTCTTAAATGAAATGACTTTGCTCCAAGACAGTTAATACAAACAGCAAACGGGAATTAGCAACCACAAAAATCCATCCCAAAATAACGTCAATTCATACGTCAGTTGTCAATTTGAATATCAGATGTATACATCTCCTTTGAAAACTCAGTGATATTTCAAGAGTGAAAATCAAGAACAGTACATTTTCAATCAGTGTCATGGGTGAATGACTCTTTTTACTTCTTTTTAGGGACAAATAAACCTGTTGTTGTAACCGAGCTGATCACAGACAACAATGTTTTAAGCAAATTTTCCAGCATTTATATGTCAATTTCCAAATGTCAACATTAGAAACTAATATTTAGTGCAAAGAGGACATGTTACATTTAAAACTATTCTTCTTCAATGTGGCTGCATAGAAATAGAAAAACGCTTAAAATTAGTTTCTTTTCAACACAGTAAAATGTAAACGGGCATAAACAAACAAAGTAATCATTATCGTAAGTATAGCTCATGACTTTTGCGACGTCGTCTTTCTTTCCTTTCTGCATCATGAAAAATTATTGAAAACAAACATTATAACACACAATTTTTCATGATTTGAAATTTACAAATTTTTACCAGGTTAAGTAATTACATGTTTGTAGACGTTAGTAGATAATTCAGGTTGTTGCAGACTGTTGGTTCTAGCCTTAGCTGATGTCTCGACACTCTTTGCAAAAGATTGGCATGATGGAAAACAAGGGCATAAGCACCGGTAACAGGTATCGGAAAGCAGATACCGAGTGGAGGGTACCTGGCACCTGATAGCAATTTATTCGTATAAATAAGGGGTCTCCAAACTACGGCCCGCGGGCCAGATGCGGCCCGTTGGGCCTCTCATTCCGGCCCGCAGAGACACTTAAGAAAAATAATAATATTATTAAACAAAATAAATTTTGTGCAGAAAGTTCACGTTATGTCGCAAGCCAACTAGCAAGAGTGGCTTACGTCAATTTTTCTCTCAATTTCCTACTTCCGTTTCAAGTACATTGCGAAATTTAAAAAGTTGAAGGATAACGTGGAAATTTTTTATATTCTTCGGCCCCCAACATGCTGGGTGAAAGTTCATGTGGCCCTCTGGCTGTAAAGTTTGGAGACCCCTGGTATAAATTAATCTTTATGCGAAAATATTGCATGATCAATTGCTATCTAAGATGTGCCTAATTCAAGAAGAATTGAATACAGGCGCCCATAGAAGTAGCATTGTGTCTTTGCCACACATTGTGATTGCTTGCGCAACGAAAATAAATATTTGCCCATTCGCTTTGAGAAATCCGTGGAATGACCACTCTTGCGGTAAGAAAAAAAGAAGTAACAGTTGTTGCTTGCTTACTTTTTACTTTTCTTTCTTGGAAAACGCTAACATTTTTTTTCTAGTGTTTTTGGTATTCCAAATGTTCTTGCTTTCAACTAGTAAATTCCTCCTGCGTTTTGCTTTGATTTTGAAAGGAAGCTAAGAAATTATTTTGTTGTGTTTATCGTCAAAGGGGAAAATTACGTGTGCACAAATGGAGGAAACAACGTATCGAGGAAAAAATATCAGAATATTCAGTCAGTATATTCAGCTTTTCATGCATGCAAACACAAATTTCAAATCGCAATGCTTCCAATGTTATACAAAACACAAGAATATTTTTTTTGTCAAAAACGGTAAAAGCTTTGGGCAATAAAAGCTTTAAGAATTACAATTCAGTTCGTTAAGTTTCTTTATTGAGCTGCCGTTTTCTTTTCACCACAACAATTTCCTTATGTCTTTTTGATTAAGCGTTTATCCGGTATTATATTATACTGCTAAATAGTACCAGTCTTCTCTAGCATTACCCCGCTACATGTTACCCAGTACTTGCTACTTGGTACCTGGTACCACAGCCACATTCTTGACTCTGCCGCAGTGGTATTGAGAATCAAGTGAAAAGATAATGTTCGTGTAAATGCCAATAAATCTGATAATATTAAAAAATGATACATGAAATGAAAGCTTTTATGGATTTCTGCATCGCATCATTTTGTCCAATAGAAGTATAGAACCTGCTGTGAGTTGAACACCCTCTGTGAAAGATTAGCACAAGCCATGTCCAGTTTTTCTTTCCAAAATTTTTTTTTTAATACACCTCTAGCTTACACTGTCTACATTTTTAATCTCCTCTCATGAATTTCAGAAAATGTTATTTTCTTCATGTTGTCAGATATTGCACGACAAAAACTTACAATACAATTACAAATCCAGACAACCAAACTGCGAGCCTGAAATTTCCTCTTCATAATTAACGAATATTCCATAATAACTAAATGGTGTTGCAGAGGAAAGCAAATGTATCCTTCCTATTTTAAAACTATTTGTTGCACTTAGTTATGCTTATTATAAGCATTTGTCATTAGTATTTCAAGATCATACTAACCTACAAATCGAAAGCAATGAAAAAGAAACTTTATAAAATGCACAAAATCGTTAAATTTACTATTTTGTTGTTAAAAAATTGTGACCATATTAAGACGAAAAGCTTTCTAAAATTACTAAACTCAAATCCAAGCATACAAGCTGGCATAAACAGTCATAAGAATTTATCAATGGTACGACTGAAAGTACGCGACTGTACTAACCTTTACGAGGTCGTCTTTCCTCCAGATTATCTGCAAGGTAAAAAAAACAATAAAAACAATGTTGATGGAATGTAGTGAAACGTGCACTGATATAATTTCTAATAGTAATGAGCTTTTGGCTGCCTTTAGGCAACAATGGGTTATGAAAATAAAAAACGAGCTGTATCACTACAAATATATATATAGCATAAAGTAAATTAATGCAAGTAACGTTAACATATATTGACTATAGACCCCTTAGATGGAATAAAACAACACATTTCAAAAGAATGTGAAAAAAGAACAGAATAGCATGGAATTCTAGATGAGTTTGACACTACAAGAAAAAGCCATAGAGTGTTAACTGCAAATTCGCACTAAAACCAATGAAAAGAAATTTTATATTTACTTTCATACATGACAAGTTAACTGATTTAACAACCTTTTCTGCGATATGAACGTATATTTAAACAATTATTTTGATTCCACCATAAAAAATGTTGATCATATACAATACTAAACGATATTAAACTAACATGTTTTCAATAATTCCTTTTACAGGTCTTTTTCCAGCCGCCAATTTCAAAATGTAACTGAGAAAACACACTACAGAAAACATCATTTGCAAACTCAAGATTCAAGTTCTAAAAGCAAGAGACAAGATTTAAAGCAATATTTCGACTTTATTTCAGAAACATGATCAAGCCAAGTGATAATGAATTTAAAATAAAAGTTGAAATGTTGCTTTAAATCTTGTCTTTTGCTGTTATAACTCGAATCTTGAGTTTGCAAGATGATGTTTTTTGGAGTGTGTCTTCTTCGTTACTTTTACAGATAATTGTGGAGCTTTGAGAAACGTTACCTTCTGACTTTTCAGTATCACTTTGGCCATTTGGATTTTTGGCATCACTTTCCAAAAAGGAAGAATCTTTAATGTCACTTTCTGAAAAAACCAAAATATTGACGTCTGAATAATGTTTATCTTACCATGTTTTCAATTAACATAATAGTGGAGGCACAGAGATGAAAAACTCTATAATACAGCCTCTGTTGAGAGTTCGTATCTTTGAGTAACGATAGTTTTAAACGTTACCTTTTGGAAAGAATTTGCCTTGATCCATTTGAGTGGCATGCAAGAAAGATCAAAACTAAAAAATCTGTAATCATAAAATTTATGTATTAAGACGGTACGATAATTGTTCAAAAATGAAAAAATTAAATGAGTGCAAAATCTCATTGTGAGGCACAATACCATAAACATGATCTAAAAATTCTAAAATATTAAAATGGTGTGCAACCATTCCCCTTGGAGAGAGTGAAAGAATAATGGAATTTTCGCCACGTTGAATGACACTTGCTTTGTGAAAACGTTTGTAAATAAAGAAAATAGTAAGTGTGCGTGGCGGGGTGCTGGGGGTGATTTTGAACAAAAGGAGTAACGTCGGGCAATTTCTACCCAAGAGTCGGACAATATTCGGTCTTTCGTGGACAAAACAATAAGCAAATTAATCACTTTAATTAACAAAACTAATTTTATCAAGCAAATCGGAAGAAATTTTATTTTTGGGCAAATTCTCATTGACCTTTTCCTTTTCTTTTTTTATTTGAACAATGCCGTCGGATAAAAACATTTGCGCGTAGCTTAAATGTGTAAAAAAAGTATTTTTATCTAAGCCATGTTTGGGATGCAGTAACATTAAGGCTTTAAAATTTACCTGGCAAGATTTTCCATCCTTCATTACGTGTTTCTGGTTTTCACATTTAAATTGAATTAAATATATATTGGTGGAATAAGTTAATAGTTTAACGTCGTATGACAACAGAAAACTACCAAGATAAATATTCAAAACAGGTGTATTGAAAAGAGTGGTGTGTTTTTCGCTTTATATGAACTATTCTTATGTTGTTTAATTTAGCAGAATAGCAATGTCATTAGGAAAAAACGTAAAAGAGAAAACAATCTTTTATTGAAATAATATTGTCTTTTATTAAGTCTTTAAACTTTAAACCATCATTTTTCTTCTGCGTCATTTATTTTCTGTGTCAGGTGCTAATTCTATTTGTTGGTGAAAGAACTACATTCCATCACTAATCCCTTTTTCTGGAAACTGTCATGCAAACTTTGTAAAGGTCTCTTTAATGTTTGAGGCCAAGGTGATAACGAACATCTAAAAGGGTAGAATGCTTTATGGTGCACAGAAATGCAAAAACATTGAAATTAAAGTCATGGAGAAATTTACAAACTGTACGCCATGTTTACATTTCCCACGTGTTATCCTGTGGGAGGTCCTTAATAATCAGTTGACGAATTTCTACTGATCTCATTTGTATGATGTTTGACTAATGAATTCATAGTCACATATATTCTTTGACAAATCTTCTAGTAAGCTTTTAACCATTCACGGACTTCCATGCATTATTTGCAATGAATTATAGCTTTTTTTCGTTCTTACATGCTTTGTGCAAGATTTCCAACATGTTAGAAATGAGTAGCAATTGGTGACCTTTAAGCTTATGATAAATGGACAGAATATTTTATCCACAAATAGCTAAGTATGCACGGTACGATGTCAGTTAGTTAAAGTTAAAGTACCTACTTAAGCAATGAATACACAAACATAAAGTATTAAAACAATTTAGCGATATTATTGACCTTATTAATATGTTTTAGACAGCAATTCAGGCATATAGTGTTTTTCATATTAAAAAAAAATTCACGTCGGGCAGTTTTCGTTTTCGTCGGGCAAGAAAGTGTCAGCACCCCATTTCTTTTTGGCCCCGTACGCGAATGAAGAAAATCCTTTGTTAAAATCATCTAAAATGGCAGCCATTCATGACATGACTTGAATAAAAATAAAGCACATTCATCAAAAATCTTACACTATAATAGCTATTTTAGTTGACGCTTTACAAAAATACCAGGAATATAAATTTTTTTCAATGATAAAACGCACCAACTTATCTTTAATTTAAATAAAGTTAAATGAAATGCTTTCGGCATCATCAAACAGTTATTATTGACCACGTTTTTTTTATTCATAAAATGAAATTTGAAAGATTATATAACACTACTTTGTCTTTAATGATGTAAATAAGTTGATACATTCGTAAAATCGTATATCACTACATTTATCTACGTTCCCTGATAGCAATTTTACTAAATTGATATATTACGATCAGGAAATAACTTCTTTTTGTAGTTAAATTGAGTTAAAGAACATTTGCAATATATTTGATAGGACAAAAATTTTATCTTTTTGGGCTTTTTGCAATGGCTTTTTGCGCCTAGAAGTTGGTGACTTCGCACCGGAATTGACGTAAAAAGAGAAAACGCAGCTCTACACTTTCTAAACGTTGTCTTTGATTATTCGCTCAAATGATGTGGTCAAAGTACACACATATGTGGCATCTTTTTTAGGGTGATTTTTTAAGAGCAGTTGCTACAACATCTTTATTCACTATTTTTGGGTTGCAAGGTACGTCATAGCCGCCATGCATGTTGGATGATTTTAACGAAGGATTTTCCTCATTTACAATGCAAATGTCATCTAACATGGCGAGCAATCTATTGTTCTTTCACTTTCAGGAGGATGGTCACAACCCACCAATAATGAAAGCAATATCTTTAATGCACGAGTTCTCCTTTTTATGTCACATGCGGTGCGAAGTCATCTACTTCTAGGGCGAAACTACTGGAGGCTATTGGGGGGAAAGAGGGTGATTATTTCCCAAAATTATTCCAATCTTTCGTCTAGTCGGGCAAGTTACATGAATTTCTCTGGCAAATTTTTGAAAATGAGATAGTAACATGTTATTCCTGTGTTCCATAATTTTAAAAAGTACATCGGGTAGGGTTTTCTACTTGTACGTAACAAATCTGATTAAAGCTATTAACAATTTTGAGATACATGCACTACAAAATATTTGACAGTTGCATGACGTCTCAAAATGATATATGGAAATTCCGTTTAGTTTTAGAAGCAGTTTAAATTTATTTTATGCTAAGTCCAATTCATGCGACATAACCAAACCAAGTTAAACCTGGGTTTAGCTCAACCCATGTCAAGAAGTCGAATGAATTAAACCCAGATCAAACCTAAATCAGTATTTTTCACACACCAAAAACGACAAACATGGGTTCATTTGAACCTTGGGTGAATCTAGATTAATTTATGTCGTGTGAATTATGCTCTAGTTTCCATTAACTTATAGGTTGTTGTATTTACTTCTAATGAATGATGAACTCGTGCATACTTTGTTGAATAATATCCTGATTGGAATTAATGGACAATAAAGAGTAGAAACGTAATGTAGGAAATTCAATAACAACCTCAGCTGCGAAAAAATACCGTTACACACGCAAACATTTGAGAAATTAAGAATAGTACGTTTCCCATATGCAATTAACAAACAATATTCTCGTGCTGCTCCACGTAAGGACGCCTTCTTTAAATAAACTTAAAACAATGCAAACTTTTTGGCAAACATAGTTTTACAGTATTTCCAATTGATTCTCAAAAAAAAGTGGAAAGGTTTGCTAGCAAAACTGACCTTGATTTTGCATCAGTGATGGTAGATAAAAATTTTTGATTAACAAAAAGCAACTAAAGAAACAGTAACTAATTTAAAAGCATGGCCTGTTGTTGCCCCCAACTTTTTAGTGAGCAATATGCAACATCGTTTCTTAGGCCACTAAACACACTGTTTCCCCGAGGTGCTGTAAAATAGTTATAAGCATGTTACAAAGTATTCATAAAGCATTTAGCTACTGCACTTAGTTGATTCAATTTTATAATTTGCGTTCATTACAGCGTACATACAAGTTTTATAGCGATTAGTCCGGAATCGTTAGATTAGAGGATCTCAAGATTGAGTTGAATTAGCATTTATCGTGATTTTAAGAAGTTATAAAAAAATGCATAATGTCACGACTCATCATTGCGACAAATGTGACGTATAGCCATGATTTTTATTTAGCACCGTAAAACTTTATTTTACAAGGTGAGTTATTATGCAAGTGAAAATTGCATAGTATTGAAAATTGCATTTATTGTATATGTCTGTACCATAAATTACCTTTACAAGCTTTCAAGATTCATCGGGCAAGTTTATAGCTATGCCTTTTATGTTGGGCAAAATGGTCTGTCACCTCCAAAGTTTGTACCCAAATCTCGGCCCTGCCTTCATCGAGGCCACAAAAGATAAAAATTTCCTCCGGTCGATTACATAGCAAATGTTCATAAATTCTATTTAACTATGTTAACAAGTTATTTCCATGACCCTGAAGTAGGCACTTTAAATATATTCTATAAAGACTGCACATACAAGAATTTTGGACGACACTGTGTATAGTTAGTATTCAAGATCATAATTCATATAAGTAGTAAGAAATTAAAGGTACTTTCCAATATGTTTTAAACATGTCAAAGTGAAGACCGACAAGTGCCGCTATCATATAATACAAGATGCAATAGAGTTAATATAATGTTGGTGAAAACTGCGTTGCAATTCATGTCTAAGCTATAAAAGATAAGATAAATGTACGACCATATATTACTCATATCGCAATCATATTGCATAGCAATACAATTGTGAGAGAACAAGTCATTTTAAAATATTCGGCATTATTTGACTTCCTGTTTTAGGTTGCCATTGCATGCATGTGCCTAATGAACCAGTAACTCTGGCCGAGCGACTGTGGCTACCTTCACTTTTAAAAAGATGGTATTCGCCGACAGTCTTGAACATTTGTTGAAGTTGCGATTGACTTAACATTCACCAAGACTATCAACGCTCTCTTAAACATAAAGCTCCCTATTCAAACGGCTATTTACATGCAAACGACAAACTTGAACAGTATGTTTATTTAAATGCTGGAAAATCCAGGTAATTTTTCATTCACAGAACTCTCTAACAGTTGTTAGTCGCTTGATCAAATCATTAAAAAAGGAACTGTTCTTTTTTGTCATTTTTTTTATAAATTTTCCCAAAACCGGTCTTCCCATGCAAGAAATAAGAAATTTGCTTGCGTGTCCATTTCCGCCTACGTAGTTCAAACAACATTGTCATGGCCAATGAACAACATAAATTTTTAATACACAAGCTAACAAAGTTGCTTAGATGATATGAACTCAAAATTAGCCTTGTTATAAGGCTTTTTTATATGTATAACTTTACTTGTGGGTAAAAATGCAAGAAAACTGAAGCCTAGTGAATCGTTTGCAATTGTTTTAGTTGGAATAGTAAAGTCGCTTGATCCTTTTCAATTTTCCGTAATTTGTAGAAATCTATTGCAATACGATTAAAAATATAGTATTGGGATTTGAACACATCGAAAGTACAAATTTATGGCGATAGAAAGTCAAATTCATGGTGATAAAATCAAACGTTTAACGCAATGGAATTTGAACATTGTCATTACATATACAGAAAGAATTCGCAAATTTTTATGGCAAAGCGTACCAATGTTAAATCATGAAGAGAATACGATACAAATAAAACTTACAATAATTTCAGTGCTTGTTCCACTTCTTAAACGTTTTTGCTTCGTCTGATGAGAATCAACTATCAAAATAATACGTATGACTTGTTTTGCATCGCGTATAAATATATCTTTGGACAATGGAGCATTTCAAAAGATCACAGCAGCAAGAATTCTTTAAAAAATTCCATATTTTGTCTTGGCGGGGAAGTGAGGACGGCGGGGAAGGTAGAATAAATGAATTTGCGAATAATTTAATTCATATTTTATATCCACATAGAACTTGAAATCTGAAGATAAGGAATACACCGTAGCAATGCAGCAGCTATTATTAAAAAAAAACACAAAATAAATTAACTTCATTTAACAGATATCACCTCTAAATTTTCTTCATATGATTCATTATTCTTTTCTTGATCTGATTGATTTCTTTCTTCAAAATTTTCAAAGCAAATTTTCAAAGCTCTTCTAAAACTTTTAGTTATAAATGCTTTCTTCCAAATAAATACAGGATTATTGACAAGCCTATTATGGAACGCTGGAGGTGTTTCCCCTGTAAATTTTGCATTGGAAATGTGCGCATCGTTTATGTGTAAAAACAACATTCTTTCCAAACGTTTTCTCAGAAAAACAATTAAGTGAACGACACTTGGCTGTTTCAAAAAATGTCAGAGCTTATCAGCAGGCCTAGGAACATAAAATTTACGTCTTTAATTTATTCTTACGTAAATAGTCTTTTGAAATTTCTGTCAAGCCGTCCCCCAAGACCCACCATTACACTTCTACATATGGTACGACATGGGACAGTTCATAGACATGGATATGAAATACATCATGAGCGGTTTTACAGTGAAGCAACCAAAGGAAGTGTAGTAAGCTGAAACAGTGCACACAAAAACTTAATTCAACTGTATTACTGACGTGTTTTGCTCAAAACTGGGGGAGTTAAAATGTTTGTTAGAGGGGTGAAAAATTAATCTAGGGGGGGGGGGTGAAATCTGATGTTTGGGAGATGGCACCTCCTAAAAATCTATCCATGTTTTAATAATTTGATTCCAACCCTTTACCCCTTCTCCTATTATCTTCTGTCAATCCTGGCAAGCTGTCATAACAAGTACACAGCTTGAAGATGTCACAATAACTTTATGTGACATAATCAGTAGTGATAATAAATATTTTCTCATACAATCAAAACTAGTAATCGCAAATCTTAAAAAATATATTTTATATGTTGATTATCAAAAAAATTATCAAAAAAATATTAATAGTACTTGACTGTTTTACCCAAAGTCAAGGTTTATATTATGCCTAGGAACACGTTTTCATTTCGAAAAATGTTCTTGTGATATGGACAAACGAACTTCTGCCAAATATTCTTGTTTTTGCTGTCCAGTTAGAAAAGGCAAAAACAGGGCAATTTTGGAAATATGACATGACTCAGGTTTGAGATTTCACCACTAGAAATGGGTTTCACTGGTTTCACACCAATCCATCTCAGTCAAAATATCAAAATTTATAGCTTCACGTGTCAATCACTGGTCATAAAAAACATCTTCTCGTACAATCAATATTAGTTATCTCAATTCTAGAACAATGTATTACAAGGGACGAAAAAATGCGCGGCTATAAGGTAAACATGTCATTATTAAGCATACAGTTACATAAAGAAAAGATTTATGTCGTGTACTTTTTGGTTGATGATCATTTTTCAATGACTTATTGTGTTTATATAGTTGCACATTACCGTTACACTTACTGTATGTCGCAATTATATCAATTTTGTTTGGAATTATAACTGGTCAGATAATTCATCTGTAAACTGTAATTATGCTTACACATATTTTTAATTTTGTATATCTTATACACTATATGGTTTTGACATATACCGAATTAAATGGGAACTAATTACCCGCTACCATAAAAGAAAGTGTACAATTGAGCTTAGAGCATACGTACCTAAACATTGTTATCTACAGTGAAAATGCCATAAATTTGTTAAAAATCTCAATTTAAAATAATTGTAATCATACGGCAATGAATTTTAATCTTAAGTCTCAAGCACTCTGTCTATGAAGACCCATAGTTGAGTTAAAGAATTTTTCTTTGATCTCATACGCAACAAAATAGTCATAGACATCACTGTCAATTTGACTTTTGCAATCTGCCTGTTCACTATTCAATTGTTGAACAAAAATTAAAAGAGTGATATTTGTCTTAATTGGCTGTTGGTTCCCATGCAACTTTAAATAACATTTTAAACTTTTCGCCATCCGACATAAGAAAAGGATGTTTCGATGCTTCGTTGGCAGATGGCCTATTTTCTGGTTTTACTTGTAGCATCCACGATAAAAGTTCTTTAAGTTCAGCATCCTTGATTTCCTCCAATCCAGCTGGCTTTCCATTCAAAATGTTGTCCAGTCTATGCCGTTTATGTCCAAAAGGATGTTTTCCTTTTGTTGCCACATAATAAGCCACCATTCCTGCATTCTATTTTCAAAAAAAGGCACTGCTATAGCATGCTGTTTGATCATACACCAACCCCTATACGATGTACCTGTCGTTGTAATTTTGCCTTCTTGTCTTTTCACACAAAAAATAAACAATGAAAACATTATTTTTATGTTCACACATGCAAGTAAACTGAATGCTGTGTTTATTTGCTTCAGAAAATAACAAGCTAAAAGTTAGCTAAATATGATAGCGGTATTTTGCAATAGAAAAAAGACAACATAAAATTCACATGTTATTCAAATGATAGGTTGACTGATTCACAGTAAAGTATTTTGTTAAAAAATAGGTACGCATTGCGTACATGTGGGTAATCTAGAAACTACGAAGCTATAAAATAAAGTAAAACAATAAACACAGTACATTTTACATTAAATATGCTTGACACCAAATACGTTTGAGATTTAAAAAATTTGTGCTTTGTGCTCATTGATCAGTCAAATGACCCAGTAGCTTTCTAACCTATTTTGCATTTACCAAACGCTCCTTACCTAGATCGCATATCACGTGACTATGCTCACAGTAAGAAAAGTGAAGTCTCCATAATTTCTTAGAAATTTTGATAATTAATTTATTATAATTTTCACCAAAGACCAATTTCACTATAAATACTCGTCAACAACTGTTTTAAAACACTTTTCTGACGAGAATATCTTCCACACAACCGATAATTCAAAACCCTTACGACTTTTTTTGTTTCACACATATATTTGATAGCCATATTTCCTACGATACAGTGACGATTGTAATTAGTAAACAATGTTTAATATTTGAAAGCTAGTTAGAAAGCTTTGCACATTTGCAAGTGATTGTAAGTACTTAAAATGTATTTCCTGCTTATACTTTCAATTACTTTGACTGCTGACACGTATCATATTACATAACTTTTATAGTCAATCTACGTTATATAAATCCTACAGAAATAATAGTTGTAACTCGTAAAAGAGTCAAAAGCAAAATAAATGTCTTTGTGTCTTTCATTCAACTGATTAACTCGCCAACAGACTAGGGTGATCTGCGAACCAAAGAGTTTACAAGCAAGGCTAATAAGTACAGAACCGGACTATAATTATGAAAAGTTATGATCGCCAACCAAGCCTGCATTTGTATAATATAAATCATTTGCTAAATTTATGAATCGATTTCATGTTTCACTCCGTATGAATGGATCACTAAAGTTCGTACATGTGTATGTTTAATAATATTAGGGCCGCGTTGTTTTCTGATTAACTAATATGCCTTTAACAATTTTTTGTCGATTGCAAATAGCTTTTGTTTCATCGTTTGAACGAGGATAAACGTTTTACATAATGCAAATATTTCGATGTATTTAATACACATTGAAAAGTATTATGCGTTCAGATTCATTGTCACAATGATAACTATACTACTCAGTTCAATCAACAATAAATAATTGCCGTAAATTCTGGATCACAATGCACTAATGAGCAATCGAGATACCAAATATAACCAAAATATAACTACAGTTATTCTCAACGTTTATTCTCAAAAAGTTTTGCGACGTTAATCGACACATATGATAGCAAATTTTTAACGAGAAATTAGCCATAAAACCAAATTTTATACAGTAACAATTTTGGCAAAGGTTGTTGGTTTAAACTTTAAACTTTAAAGTTACAACTTAAATATAATACACACATTGTCAAATAAATGTGTCTAGTGAAAATTCGCCATCATAAATTACCACTTATCATTTGCTGAGAATCACGACCTAAACAGCTAGGGTCTTAAACTCTAACATTCTGAAGTATCCGAGTCTTTGAAATCGCTTTCTGAAAAGCCCGGGTCTTTAGCCAGACTATCGGAGAAGTCATTTTTTTCATCCATGGAGTGGCAAAAGAAGTCAAAACCAAAAAATCTGCAATCATCAAAAATTATTTGTAAGTGCAGTACGATAAATGTCATTTACGCTGAATTTGAATAAAATGAAAGTTAAAACATTTCGAAATTTTTACATAAAATGTCACAGTTACCACATGGTTTAAACAGTTCTAAAACAACAAACTGTACAATGTACATTTCAATAAAATTCTTGGATAATTATACTTTAGGTGTTATTTAGACCAAATATATGTGAAGACTATCTTAAAACTCAAATGAAGTTTCATCTTTACAGCAACATATCCCTTAGATTTAGAACAAATTAAATGCGTTGCACTTAAACAATTAAAAAAATCATAATTGTGACGCATAGTTCTTTAGTCAGATAGATATGAATGACATCACTGAACTGCCGTGTTTAACAACGCAAGCAAATTAAACATGTCAAATAACGTCCATTGAAATCAACAAATCCTATTGTTAACAATAATACATAATAAACGAAGCTTATTCAAAGCCTTACCAACATGGTGAAGCTTAATTTTCGTAAATTCGTCAACCCAACGTTTACTTTTATTAACTATACGTATCACCAACAACAGAAGAGCATCTTTTGTTAAAACGCATGGTCATTTAATGCTCAAGTAGTCTTTAGAGTTTTTACTTAGATAGAAAAACAATCATTTGTGAAAAAAGATATCTGAGATATTAGATAAAGATTAAACTCAAAACCATGGATGAAATGTTAAAACTTAAAAGTTATGTTGCAATCCGTGTCTTTACCATAACATTAATAATAATTAATACAAACATAAACTATTCATATCGTATTCATATTGCATATAAATCCGAATGCGAGAGAACAAGTCATTTTAAATAATTGTGATTAGTTAAAATTCCCCCAAACTGGGAATACTGTCGGAAACATAAACCAGAGTTAAACAGAGTTAAACTCATTCTCCCTCGCAAGTGATCATTGACAAACGTCAAACTAGATGCACTGTATTAAATCAAATGCTGGTGAATCCTGATAATTTCTGTTTAATCGTCTAAAAATTTACAGTCGTCAAACAATCGAAGACGAAGTACATCTTTCATACAAATGATTAGAACAGCGTCTACTTCTGCCGACATACATAATTCATAACATTTTGTAATGAAGAAGAGTTAAGGTATAATACACGTTGTGAAAGTTTCTGAAATGATATAAAAGTCAAGATCCCATACGTCTGTAATTTTACTTCTTGGCAGAAAAACGCAGCAAAAAACATTACAATTCAATGGAATTGTTTTAGTTTTAATAGTCTGGATCACTCAAATATTTTGTTCAATGATATGTAGAAAATCTTTTCTTATAATAACAAAATCTGATAATTTTGATAAGGAGAAATAAATAACAACAAAGTCTTGACAGTTTAACGTGTGACGCAATATAATTTTTTCTTGTTATACGTACGTAATGAAAGAATTCACAAATTCCAGTTTATTATAAACGTGGCAGTCTTTTATCATGTGAAGAACACAATACAGCTAAGTCTGGAAAACTTACAGATAATTCCCCCAGTCTGTAATGAGTAGTCCGAAAACACTGACTTCAATACCGTTCTCTTTCAGATTGGAACCATCAATCGTTATACTTTGTTATGCATGTCGTCATACAAAAATGTTATTATAAAATTGCAAGAATTTCAAAAGAACCCAGCATGAAACACAAACTACATGTTATTTAGGGAGAGAAGGGTACTGCTTATATAATTCTTAAAATTTCTCAATGAAATGTCATATGTGTATGTATTTAAAAAAAGATTTCAGTAACATACACATTAAGCAACAGTGATCTTCTTGTGTGTCATGTGTGAACCAGTAGCTTCATAAGGTCCACATAACCAAGTAACACTAAAAAAAAGCACAAAAGTAAACTCGCTTTTTCAAAATCTTACTGCCTATAGCACATCAGTGATTATAATCTGGGAGGAATAGAAACTTGCTCAGGAGTTTACCCAGACTGAAAGCTTGGTTGTGCAGTGTAAATGTTTTCAAACTTAAAGCTAAAATACATTTCAGGGACATACACATTTAAAAACGTGATCTTCTTGTTTGAGCCAGCAACTCCATATGGTGCACATGGCCAAATAACACTAAACAGCAAAAAAATAAAATCTTAATTTCTATTTAGCTTTACTGTCTAGAGCATGTCAGTGAATATAATATATAATAAATAGAAATTGGCTCAGTGGCATAAAAGGATTGACAGTTTGATTGTGCAGTAAAAACAACAGATTTCTATAAACAGAAACAATGCTAAACTGACCAAACTGGCAGGCTAGCTACACCAAACATGCTGTAACCTTTAATGGTAATAAGTAAACAAATACAATCTATCTTGGTGACAGTTTTCAAAAGCACAAAGTAAAACTTGCTTGAAACAAAAGAAACACTTTAACTTTTGTAAAGCTATCCGCAATCCAAAATCCAACTCTACCATAATGTATGATTATACACGTATACATCCCAAGTGCAGGAGTCACAATTGTACTGGGGTGATAGCTGGGAGAGCACATTATTAATAACACATTGTATATAACCATACATGTATTCTATATTCATACATCAGTTCATTTGTACACCTTTAAAAAATGCCATCAAATGTTACAAGCAACTTAGAAATGATCAACAATCATTCTTTGAAATGGGAATCTTATAGAACACAAAAAGAGATGTACAAAAATTTACAGAAGAAGAAATTCAATCACTAACAAGGTTGGAAGTAGAAAAAAAGTTTTCGCTTCATCATTATTAATAATCATGAAAGTGCAGTGCTCACCATATGAAGATGATAAGATGGCGAAATTATTTTGATCTACAACTAAGAATGCCTAAGGTATGCCTTTTGTTAGTGATAACACTTCTTTGCAAATTCAATCAAAACTGGCAATTATTCTTGTTCAAAAAGGCATGCAGCTGGTTCATAAGAAACATTCATACAATATTAATTAATCAGAACTCAATAAAGTCACAAACCTTCATTTTCCTCAACAGCAACAAAAACGAGATCATGTATATAAAGGTGAGACAATAACTAAATCCTGTTGCAATTACAGAAGGAGGAATGTCTTCAAGAGTATTGACCTGAAAGTAAAGAAATATTAGATTTAAACAAAAGGCATATTTCTTGTTAGACACACAAGTTTCAAGTTCTTAATAAGTAAATAACCAAAATTTCTTGGCAATTTGCACACAAATCCACTAACCTTATCTTGAGTTTCAAGGAAATAATCACGAACAGAGCATCCTAACACTTCTTCAATTTTTTTCCCAACATACATCCTTGAAATACAAGAAAGAGATCCTATGACCAATGGTAACATCTGACATCTAAACCTTTTGTAAAATTTTGATGCCAATTGCTAACTTCACGATTTTCATGTCATTTTCATTTTGTATGTGTTTGGTGCATAGTTTGGTGTTAATATGAAGCATGTCACGTAATTGATAATTATGCTCACCCCTGAATGGTTGATGTTGAACAAACTATAAATCATTGTTAAATCCGCTAAAAATAAAAGGTGATTGCTAGATAGTATACTTCAAAATAAGATTTCCGCTGGGAGACTGGTGCGAGTTTTGCAATATCTTCGGAAAAAAGAAACGAGAGCATCACGAATAACGAACAAAGATAGAGCGATAAACCCTGGGTAAACCTATTATCAATGAGAATAGTTTAGTGTAGGAGTTTTATTGTGATGAAGTTGTTGGTATTTGATTGAATCAGTATGCTAGAAATTCATTCTCCTCAAGGTAAGAATCGCAAAAAATATATAAATGTATTGAATAATTATACTATTTTACTCATATAATTGAAGCAAATTATCAAGATATACAATAAAATACATCCAGGAATATTCACTCATTAATATATATGTACATATATATACGACTATGAGATACAAACATATGAGACTGCGAGATATACAAAGATATATGTCGAATTCAGGTAAATCTTTAACAAACGAAATTTTACACGGGTTGAGCCGGTTGACACATCAACAGCCTTATTAGGTAGCAATATTAGTCTACTACAAATTTATTTACATTAAATCAGTTTATGATTAGCATGATATGGCATTTGAGAACAGTACCTATCAGGTTATTAATTAAGACCAGACACTATATTTTTCTCTGATGGCTGATGCAACACTTTGTCTGTTTCCCACCCTGATTATCATCACTGCAACATGTGAAGAGAGAAACATAACCTGTGTATAGCAATATACTTATCCATAATTTTAACCATAATTGTGCAATGTCCCATAATCCAAATGTGCTTTTCTATGGCCTTTCATTATGTCTCATGCATGATTATTTTTATATATATAGTGGTGGATCTAGGAAAATACATTGAAACAGTCCATCAATTGGTTTCATTTAACCTTGAAAAATTCCTAAACAAAGCCATTGTTATAAAGGTACTTGAATTGAAAAATATTGCCCATAACTTATTTTTCCTTACCCTAGATCCACTACTGATTTTATAAAAATGTACATCATGAACAGTCCTTCAGCATTTTATCATTGTTGACCTTTCCAGAATATGACAAGGCTCTTTGTTTACTTCATGTGGGAACATTGTGAGCTGTTTTCTTTCCAGACACTGTTTTAGATGTTGACATCTGGCTCTGTTGGAAAATGACTGCTCCAGGATAAATTCCATTAGCAAGAGAAACTGCATTAGCTATGGCAAAAGACCACAATCTACAAATCCTGCTTGCTTTTGACAGCACCTGAGTTTTACTAGCAGTAGACCTCCTTTGCTATACTCTTGTATAAGTATACCAATTGCATGGTGAGTGGATGTGTCATCCCAGGATACAGAGAGTCGAGACTATCACTGATTGTCCATTTGACTGAGATACTAGCCAATGACCTGGAAGATTATGAAGCTGGATTATGTTAGTCATTGAACTGTTTATATTTGGTAAACCTTCCCCACTAAGTTGGTTTGATACTATCAGTGTATCCATTAGGCCACATGCTTCTGGGAATTGGTTTTTAAGAAGAATTTGTGCTGCATTGATGTGTTTGTCGTTCATTAGATCTCCTGAACTAAGTATGTTTTTATCAACCAGAGATAAATTTATATTTGAAACATGTAGCCAAGGCTGTGGTCTTGAAAGATTTTCCAAAGCCGTTTATTAGGCGAGCTGAGGTCAATTACATTAGGTCCTGTTGAACACCTCTTCACAGCCTTACCAGAAGGTATTGGTATATGTACTTTATAATTTTTTTTCATTATTTCTGCACGTCTTCCAACTCGACCAGTGTATGGGTGCTTAGGACGCCCATAGGATCTAATATTAATTGACTTAACTCTTGTTTGCTTCTTTTGACTATTTTTGATTTTGTCATTTTTTTTAGATTCTTGTTTTGGTAGTGAATCTTGAAGAATTATTCCTGCTTCCTGTGGTGCAGAGTTTCGTGCTTCTTCTAGCAATGTATTAAGACCATTGGTAAGAGACAATAGTTGTTGTTTGTCATCTATAAGAAATGTCAAGCTGGATAGTTCTTTCATTAGATTTCTACATTTGAGACGTAGAGCATTTTTACCATATGTCTTTTCGGTGGAAGAGGAGCAAAATCATCAGCATCATTTGGCACAAGCGATTCATTCTTAATGTGTTGAGGTGAATTCTGCTGCTCTTTTTTACTAGGAATATTTTCGAGCGAGTTATCTGCTGGAACTATGGTGTTATCTAGATGAAAAAGTGGATTTTCTCGATAAAGTGGGCTGAGTCTATCCCATTTCCACTCTGAAAGCTCTTATGCAAGCACAGAAGTGTTTGCACAAAAGTTTGTTGTGTCTCCAGTCTACGCAGGTGCAGTTTGGAAGCGTTTGTTCATCACCAAAAAGTACGATATGGTGCTCCTTCCCTGTTGAACTTTTTACTTCAAAGACCCCTGGGGACACCATGTGGACCATGTCTTTGCTAATGTCACTATCCCAACGCTTCATAATATGAGACACCATTCTGGCAGGTCTGTTGTGCAGAAATTTTGGAAGTTCCTCATTATAAGCACGGTAACCTTCGTGACATTTAACATTTAGCTCAGCATATCTAAAATTGTAAAAGGAAAACGTCACTCACGAATATTATTACATCTTATTAGAATCCAAAGATGACTAAAGTCTACAGTAAGTGCCGCTGTAGTTAGCCTAATCACACCTTTCAATAATTTGTTAATTAAGCAGTTGTTTTTTCAAAAGAAGGGGCCTGTGTCACACAACAAAAACCCTACGAAATGAATTTTTCCTTCAAAACTGGTATTTTTTCGTTATAAAAACATAGAATCATTATAGTATTGTGAAGTATTAAAAATTTTACTTTTTGAAGGTATTTGGGAGAAACCGATCAACAAGTGCTGTCAGCATATCACTTAAGGAGCACCCTTTATTCCCATGGAGGTACTCATATTTGAATGCCTTATTCTGTCTTTCAATGCCATTGTTCGTGTTCACTGCACAAATGAAATCTTCTGTCCGATACGCTTGACACCATCTCTGTAAGAAAACGATCAATACAGTATATTTTGCATGTTCTGCTAGTACATAGTATTTTATTTGAGATTATGAAATAATACAACGATATAAGCCCTGGAGATTTGGTTTTACAAAATTGCCTAGTAAAATTTTATAATTTTATAAAAAAGGGTCTCCTTCGAAAATAGCAAAAATTAATTTAGACTATTTCATGAATAGTACATCGCTTTTCTATCAACGTTGATTCCATCGCTATATTTAGTTTACTACCTTAATGTTTGGCAGCCACTTTCCACCAAACCAGTTTCTCATTTTGAGATTTTCTTTCCAAAATATGCTTTCTGTCAGGGCGTTCATTGACTTTTGACATTGTTCAGACGTAGCAGCATGTGCAATATTGCGTAGTAGATTTAGAATTTCCTGTTTATTCTGAAAACACCATTATCTATTTTGACGTCCACTCCTGCCACGATTTCTCTCGATGAAAATCACAAAGAAGTACTTCCGCATCTATTTTACATGAAAATGTTTTATATGTAATGAAATAACTACTTTTCTCTAACGACACCAACTATGTTTATTTTAGCATTTTCAATGTTCGATTTTTAACTTTTGGTCTGCATGCGATTAGAATTATGGCAAAAATGCGACAATATATTCATACACGTATAAAGTTTATCGGGGAATTCCGTAAATGTTTAAAGCGTTATCGTGGAGCTTTAAAACCACGATGCAAATCTGTTGTACGTTTGCATACCTGGAAAGGTTGTTTCGAGTGCTTGAATTTCTTCTTCGGCGAAATCTACCATAAAACGAGAAGGCTTCCATATATCAGCATTCCACTCCTTAAACACCATCAACGCTTCCTGTATACATTTGATGTTTTCGAACTGTATGATAAATGATCCAACAACTTGGTAACATACATTTGTTCTCACACACAAGAAATAAAGTGGGAGATCATACTTCGTTGTTCTATAGGTGGCATCGAGTAAGCACATTTGATTGCCATACTTTCCTAGGAGGTGTTTCTGATATTTCGTTTGATGACAGAAAATTAAAGTGCTTGTGTCCATCTCTAACGATTCCTCTGTATCTTCGTTTGAGATGGTGTTATCATTGTTCTCTGTTGACTCCTCTGCACATGGTTTGCCGGAGTGAGGACGAAACAGAAAGAAATCTTGTGGATTTTCAAACTTCCATTTTTTAATAAGCTCTTCCAAGTTCTTTTGATCATTGGAAGAAAAATGGTTCGGCTTTCCTTTGTAAAGATGGTTATAGATATCCTTGTTCGTAGGATAAAATCGCCTGCTAAGTTTATCTGGAAGTTTACACCCTTGAATAGTTCACCATTTACAAATAACTCAAGATATCTACGTGCTTCGCATACTGAGTGAACACCGTCGCGGGCCAGCTCTGCTAGCTTCTCCACTATCACTGGATCCAATGGTTCTCTTATACCAGCTGCCTGCAAGGTGTAAAACTTTACAAAAATTTTAGCTATAGCTAATCTCTTTTAAACAAATTTTACCATTCCAGTTATGTGATTTTTGTGTTCTGAAGGGCGAGGAAACTTCACGACATAGTGCATCTCGATGTCGCTGCTCTTAATTGTGCCAGTTTTCATTGTCTCATGTAATTGCTTTGCTGTTCTTCTTCTGAAGAAGATACTGTCCTTGTCCAACTAAAGAGTAAAACATTGTAATGTCCTTTTACGCACAAGTTTTTATAATTATATATTATTTTGTCTTCATTTTATAGTGTTTAACAAACCTTCATTCTAGGGAATTTTGCAATTAGCGTTATATAGATTAAAGCTGGGCATTGTTTCTTCTTTGTCGTTTGAGCAAACAATCTTCGCGTAGAATTGTAGCAGTGGTCTGTAACCTAAAAATGTATAAATTTAACATTCTTTATAAATACAAGGAAAACGTAAAATATTGTATAGTTGGCTGCATTTTTATTAGCGCAGATTATACATTGTGCAGGAATACACAAGGTGAAAAAAGGCAACGAGATGTCTTAGCAACATTTTAGAGGACGCAAACTATCATTCTTATTACAGTAATCTAGTCATTGACTACCTGTCGCTGCTGATTTTCTCTTTCTTCTTTAGCTTAGATTTTTCATTTTTGTCTTTTCCTTGGTGGCACCATAAAATTTTATCTCCGACATGCACAAAATGTATTCCGTCAAATGGGATAATAGGCCCTTGTAACGCTTCATTCTTCCTTTCCCAGTAAACTTTTACGTTGTCTTTTCTAACATCTGAATATGTTAATGATTAAAATTTTACAACCGGGGACGTCTTATATCAATGTAAATTTTTGGTTGTGCTGTTTTTAAAAAGCGTAATATTACGATTAAATTAAGCGCAAGAAGAAACGATTACCAGAGCGTTGTGTCTCTTTATTTATAGTAGTAAAGTGCACTTAATTTATTAGTATGCTATTTACTACTTTTTTATGCAATTAATTTTGTACATTTCAGCTTTTTCAACTGCCACTCAAATTAATTTTATTAAATTGACGATGTATTAAACTGTTGAGCTAATTACCTTTTGATCCAAAGCTCTTATCACCGTAGTAGACAATGAACTTGCTGTTTGTCTCAACTTCGTATTTCACGATAAGCGGCATTACATCAGACAGGCTTTGCACGGCAGCCCTGTGGCCGTCACAGCAGTCCCAAATTTTATTCATTGACATTAATTCGTTGAAAAATTTACATTACAAAGATAGTAAATTTTCATAAGTTTATAATGACGAACAATAGCCTATATGCGTGGTGTTCATTAATTGTTTTCCCGCAAAATTTTAAAAATGGCGCATTGCATTATAACAAAAAAGGACATCCTTCAAAAGAACACGGTATACTCGTGATGCTCTCGTTTCTTTTTTCCGAAGATATTGCAAAACTCGCACCAGTCTCCCAGCGGAAATCTTATTTTGAAGTATACTATCTAGCAATCACCTATAATAAAACGTAGCAAGTGGCAAAAATATAAAAAATTATTACATATTTACATCCTGATTCAGGGTAGTGGTGTTTCCATTTAAAAATAGTTAACGTTCCTATGTCTAAATCTAAACCAATCTAAACTTAAGTTAACTACTCCCGAGGCCACAAAAAAAACGTACACGTAAAGGTAAAAGACTGACAAGAAAATGTTCTGCAAGGCTTAATAAATTGCTGTCTGATCATTAGATATTCATGATCATTAAAAACCTTGGAAACATGATCCAGAAGTGACAATTTTAAAGTTTTAGCCACCATTGTGTTCTGTATTGAGGATTATAAAAGCAGAAACAGAAATTTCTGCAATATCGGACAGTATTTACATGTTACAATACACAGGAAACTCAAAACTTCTTCTCAGTTGCTTATTGAAGGCTTAGGAGTAAAATTACAATGGAATGGCTTGTTTTGCACTTTGTCATACATGAATATAATTTTATATAAAAATTTCAAAAGATCACTTCAAGAAATAGATTTGTAAGAAAGTTGGTGTACTATTTAGGGTTTATCAGAAGGGAGAAATTTGATCCAGAATAATTTGCGTACTCAAGCCTTTGATCTTAAATCTAAAGCAAATGAGTAAAGAAATTAAAATTGTCAGTTGTTACATCATAAAAATATAATGCTAATTTACCAGATTTGTGGTCATATAAGTACTTTATGATGTGACATCATGCTTTGTAACGTGTTTTAGCTGTTTCCTTACGGGAAGACATGTTCATTAATTGTAAACTTTATCTACGAAGCGGCATCTCACCGGGGCGGGGAAAGCCCCTATTTCCACGTGCAAGCAATTTATTGGGGAAAATTTAGCGTCCTACATAAACATATATTTCTCATGTTTTTCCTTAAAATCAACCGCTCGATTGTAGTCCACTACAAACAATGGTAGAAAAGAAATGTTTTGACTTTTTTTAGCCATGACAACGTGTGATGCCCTTTTAGTTGAAAAGTCTTTCTCACAATTGGTGTGAAGACATCAATTTGCAATGTTTACGACTTTAGAAATAGAAAAGAGTTCAGAGAAGATAGTTGTGTTGGGAATAAGTTATGTAATTGAATGTCCTACTGACAGAGAGACAAATTCTCCTTAGTTGTTTTAATTTCGTTAACCAATAGGCTTAAAAGAATTTTGATTGATGTTTTGTTGTAAATGAGTTGAAGAGAGAATCTGAGTGAGTGAGCGATATACGTAATTGATAAACAGTGCATGAGAATAAAATTTCGTTATTAAAAGGCTTGAATTGTTAGATCTATTCGACATATTCAAAGGGAATATTGCTTGGGCGACGGGCAAGATTCACAAAAGTTGTAATTTTTCTTCGTTATTTCCTCAATTACATCATCATCAAGTTCATGTTTTGCTTTGTTTCAATTCCTCATTTGCCTGTCTTATAAAATAGTTCTTGTAGTGGTCTTGTCCTTGGTCAATCATATCGGTGAAGACCAATGTTGATTTTAATTGTTATACTCCTTCATCCTTAAATCTAATTACCAAAATTATAACCATGCCTAAATCTAGAGAAAGTTTATTACAAATGATGTTACATAATGCATTAATGATGAAGAGTGTTTTTATTTTAAATGTATAAAAACATTTCTCAAACATAATTTGCGGTCAGTAAAATGTTTATATATTGATGTGTGTTATTTCAATCAAAAATGAAAAAGGTTTTGAGATCTGGTTTGTTTTTCCATTCATCATTTGATCTGACAGCCGCATGCACCAAAACAGGAAGATTTGGAAATGTTTCAAGAAAGTACTCCTTTGGATCGCCAATCTTTTCAAGTGGTTCAGGTTGTGGTGTTGGCCGTGGTTTATCGTACCAATGCAGGCCAACATTTCGAATAAATCTTAAGCAATCTGTCCATGAAAGCCCATACTTAACAATCTTTCCACTCACCTTATCAGTACAAAAATAATTATAGGCATCATGATGTATTCGACTTTTCCAATCGGAGGGTTCACTATTTAATTGTTGAACGACACTTGAATTGATATCATTTATTTTAATTGGTCGTTGGTTCCCAACTTTACATAACATTTCAAACTTTTCGTCATCTGACATAAGAAAAGGATGTTTCAATGCTTCGTTGGCCAAGGGTCTGTCTTCCGGTTTTAGCTGTAGCATCCACGATAAAAGGTCTTTGAACGTGGCATCCTTGATTTTGTCCAAGCCAACTGGGTTTCCGTTTAATAAGTTGTCTAGTCTTTGCCGTTCAGGTCCAAAAGGATGTTTCCCCTTTGTTGCAACATAATAAGCCACCATTCCGGCATTCTATTTTCAATAAAAAATGGAGTTAATTTATTTGTTACTTGCAAAAATACAAGTTCAGTTCAAAAAAAATCAGAATAATGTTCTCCAATTAAGAATCGTAGCCATAAATTTTTTAGAGCAATCTAAATGAGAGACATACAATCTTAAAACCAATAAGGCAATAACAACAATTCTGTATCATACATATACATATTTTTATATTTTATACAGTACAATTTGTATTTTGCCACTATATGACTGTACAATGGAGGTAAAAAAAAATTTTACTTAAAATCATTATCCCTACCAAATAAAGCATTGAGCTGTAGTTGGACCTCTAGCTCTACTTCAAGAACTTACCATAATGTCAGACTCTTTTTTGTAACGAACTTTTTTAATTGTATCATCTGATGCGTTATATGACTCTGGAGCTATCCAATTTTTAGCTCCTCTTTGTATGCTCCGATGTGTCGAAGTTTCATCAGATAACATATGACTTATACCAAAGTCAGCGATTAAAAAATTACCTTGTACATCTCGAAGAACGTTTGATGGTCTTAAATCCCGATGAAGAATAGGATACGGATCACTGTGAAGATCAGCTAAACCTTTTAAAATCTGCATAAGAATTGTAGGAAGTGCTTTTTGAAGATCTTGCAAAGTAGAAGATTTCACAAAACTTTCTAACGATTCTTCACACAAATCTAATATCAAATACAAATAATCTGTGCTTGGTTCTGCTTCAAGATACCAATAATTCACAACATAATTTGAACGCTTGGCATTCAACTCATTCAACATATCTTTTTCTCGTTCTGCTAACTCCACACAGTTATCTCGAAGCAATCGTTTTACTGCTTTTCCGTAACCATCTTTTCCGAATCCAAGGTAAACACGAGTTCCATCACTTCCCATACCAAGCAAAAACTCCTCAGAACAAATAACCTCTACACCATTCACAAGTTTAACTTTTCTTGGATTTTCCTGCCCATATTCTTCCATCATTCTGAACTTTTGTTGGTGCATTATTGATTTATCAAAACATTTCTATGGTTGAGACAACAATTCTTCAATTGAAAAGTAAAGTAGACTATTTAAAAAGGAATAAATCAATGTATCAAGAAGCAATTTAATTTTCTAATTGCACGCACATCAAAAAAAGTGGCTATTAGACAAGAATTGAAATACCTACACCGCTTTGCCCGTGAAGGTAAACAGACTTTTATATTTGGCTACTAAATAATAACATAATAACATAACAACATGTTTGTCTTTGTTTCAGTTTATTTCTATTAACAGCATATTTCCCTGCTTCCAAACACACGGATGAGAGATATTTAGTTCAAAGGACGTTGAGGGACGTTTAGACTGAATGTTCCTCATAAAAGTTATCAACACCTTGTTTCCACACTTAATTTACTCTCGTTAACTTTAGAAATTGCGTCAGCTCGCTTTCTGATTTTTCCACTGCTAAATAATTTTCAATTCTTGTGAATGGAAAAGTTAATGTCAGTATCTTTTCCTTTAAATGTGAAAACATTGAGATTGAAAAATCAAAGATGAAAGCATCTGTCGAGGTGAAAAGAGTTCGGAGAATTAAAGAATCTAATGTTTTTAAGGTTACCTTCTGAAAAGCTTGAGTTTTTGACCAGAATTATTGGCTTTTTATTGGCTATCAATAATCAAATAATATGTTTTAAAAGGATGTTTTCAACAATATTCTATTTAAGTTCATTTGTGTACGTGTAACGTATACATGTAACTGACATGTTGATCATGATGGTTTTCACAATTCACTTTTAGCATCATAGCCAGTTTTCACTTTCTATACATATTGATTAAATTTCTATGTTTACAAAGTTTAAAATTTTCACATGATTTTAATCAGCATTTGCATTATTTTTGAATTAAAAGATTTCAGTTGGCTACATATAACGATATCTTTTAAAAATAATTTATTAGGTTATAAATTATTGTTTGTATTTAGCATTGAAAAACATGGAAATGTTTGGGCAAATGTTTTTAAACAAAATTCTTTTGCTAACCAGGTTTTGATGTGGAAGGCGAAACACCAATCATGTCTTCACTGTTATTATCATCTAATAGATTAATCAAATTAATTTTTTGCAATGCAATTAAATAACATTACAGCATGATGACAAATTCTAAAACTCTCTTATCTGACCCTTTACAAACGTATGAATGATACGCATGATATAAACGACTCTTAATTGTTTGTGTTTGACTTTTAAAGGGAATGCAAAGATGTTTGTGCAAATGTTTGCTAACAAAATACAATTTCTTACCAAGTACTGCTGTAGAAGAAGTTTTATCAATGTCGTCATAGTCGTTGTCACTCATGGGAGATGGCAAAGATATCTTTTCGTAAGAAGCAGGAAATAAATGCAGTACATTACACAGTTAATACATCATAGCAAGATAAAAGGAATACTTGCTGAGTTATTTCACTCTTCATTACATCTCACATTTTTGACCGTTAACAAAAGTATGTGAATAAGGAAGATATAAACAAATCTCAAAGGTTACATTGCATTCTTGTTTGTACTTAACATTTCAAAAGGCAAAAAAGATTACGTTTGTGTAAATATTTGCATATAAAATTCCATTACTTACTAGATCCTGATGTAAACGCAATACTCATCATGTTTGAGACACCACACATGTAGTTTTACAGCTTTATATAAAATGAATTGTTTGGATTCTTTCCAATAATTTATATCAATTAAGAAATAATTGTATTTTTCGTGTTTATGTATAAAACGACATCATACTATACACAACGCCTGGCTATTCATGTTTGACAGTGGTTTACATGTGATTTTACAATTTTTATGTGCTACATAAACAAATTTTACATCTACGGGCCATATACATTGAGTTCTATAAGACCTGGAGGGGAAAAGGGGCCTGGACCCCATGGTCAAAAACATGGCGGTAATGGCGGATTTTGGTTTTCAAGACTTCCACTTTGAGAAAAATTTTTAACATTCGCTCCCTCCGGAACCCGGATTTTTTTTACTGCTTATATTAATGACAACCAGCGAAAACCATCACGATACCGTAAGCATAAATATTGAAAATAATGCTTCAGGTTTTTGTGAAATAGACCCAACAATTTAAATGAGGTAAATCTACTGTAAAATAACGTATATTTTGTCAAGTAATGCTTTAGCTATATTAGAAATAAATATCAAACGGCATTCTTTACACTGTCAATGTGTTGTTAAGCTTTAATGCATAATCCCATGCACAATACTTGTGTTTTGGACTGTTTGTGAACAGCTTGGTGCAACTGTCTTTCTTGAATAGACGGGTAAATCTTAGTTAAAGTGTCCAAAAAGGAGTTAGAAAAAGTTAGCTTACCCCTACGACTTAAGTAGACTGGAAATATATTATAAGTAGGTATGTCATTTTTTTGAGTTTTTTTTTGGTAGGATTGATTCTGGGTGTCTTACAAAGTATTATGATATTCTGATAAATCTACTGAGAACTTATGAAGAAAATATCTTGAACTAGGAGAGCAAAAGAACGAAATTCAGAAATTCTATAATCATGTTGCTGGTTCTGTTTTGAGCCAAGATATTAGAAACTGGATTGTCATTGAAAACCATGGATCTACTACTGAACAGAACTACATTACTTTCCCATTAAAAATTCGATTTCTTAAATTAAAGTGCATTGGTTTCTCTGACATAACACTTTTCTTATTGATAAAAGTTTTTGTGCTTGGCATTGATATTTTATACAATCGCAAATGTGGTTGTCAAATCCGGGTAGGCGAAAAAAATCTTATTTTATGAGCCCGCTTCTTTCCGCTGACTTTGACAACCAAAATCCGCCATGTTTTTGACCACGCGGCCGTGCGCTAATAATTTATAGTAATTTTGTTGACGTTTCCCCTCCAGGTCTTATAGAACTTAATGGCCATATATTATTGGCGATATTAAAGTTAAGTGCGATTTCTAGCGTATCAGTAAAAAAGTTTTTGATTTGATCAAATTATTCCATTTTTATGGCGGTTTAAAGTTGTGAAAATGCCCTTTTTGATGGACGATGTTCGTCTTAAGAAAATTATGAGAATGCAATACATTTCCAATGACCAATTCAAAGCCATATAAATAAAATTGTTCATGTATGGTCTGTTTTGTCATATCAAATTAAAAAACGAATAAACACGTGGCGGAGGAAATAAGAAAGACTTATTCTACACCATGAGCATTTCATATTTTTACTATGTCTCTAAAGTTAAACTAGAGTATTTTGTATATCCTATAATTCTTCTTAAGTCAATATTTATTGATAAAACTTACTTTTTAAATTTGCCTTCGTTGTAAAACGTCTTCCTGACAAATGATGTAACTTAGACAGTGTCGGCACCATTGAGTTCTATAATAACTGGAGGGGCTAACTTTACTGGGGCGAGGATGCCAAAAAAATGGCGGCCAACGGACGTATTTCCGCTGAAATGATCGCTTTGCAGAAAAATAATATTCTCGACCTCCCCCTGGTGTCTATAGTAAATTATAAAGAACTTTTCAAAAACAAACACGATATCACAGAACATGGATATTGTTAGTTCCATATTCTGTGACGATTCTTTTTTGGCATTTCTTTTATAATGCCAACACTTCAATCGTTCAATTGTTGGATGTCGTAGTTTCCACAAAAAGGAACATATTGCTTCTCACAGGTGAGGTAGTTGTTTGTTTTGTTAGTCCGTCAACGATTGAAAAGCAATTATACATGCAATGGATTCACTAAGGATGCCTTGAATGCTTTGAAGTTAAAGTTCATGATCCAAAGAAAGATGGCAAGAAGGTTGTGTGTGTTTTGATGCTTAATGAAATGTCAATTCACAAACATGTAAAATGTAAGGCCATAAAGTTTGTGTCTATGTAAACATTTGTACTGAGATTGATGATGACTCGATGCAGATGTGAAGCTTCAAACTGTATAAGCCATTGGGTTTTATGTAACTTAATGTTTAAATCATGTCATATCTTTATCAAAATATTTTAGTCGAGTGTTGTTTGAATGTTACTAATATCTATTGCACTATACTGAAGCATTAAAGATTCAGTGATGAAACCTTTAAAGTTACTGTACTGTATATTGAACAAACTATACATACCAAACCTATGCTGACTTGAGTCTTTTTGAAATTTCATGTTAAACTCAATTACAGAAAATCCATAAATATCCGGAGATTTAATATGTACTTTTTTAAAGAAACAAGTAAAAATCCTACAATTGTGGCGAAAAAAGCCATTGCTCATTGCATGAAAAGAAGCAAAATAGCAATGATAACAATTAAGCTAACTTCTCTCTCGTGAACCGTGGAGATGAACTATGATATACTTTTTTGTATAGACTAAAGAGTTTAATCGATCAAACAAGATTGACGCTGGTACGAAAACGACGCACATCTGCATTCATACATGTGCAGCCGACATATAGGTCTTTCGTCGATAGTTATAAATGCATCCTCGTAGGAGCAGATAACTGACAACCAGTGTTGACTCGCTGTTATGAATTTAAGGTTTTTACCTTGATTTTCATCAAAAAATTGCTTGCCGAATCCCAAATACACACAACATTTTCCTCACTCTTTTCTCAGGAGGGAGTGGGAAATTGTGAAATTTTCGGAAAAGCGGTCAATTTCGGTAAATCTCAGCGGCAAAGGACGAAATCCGCCATTTTTTTGGCATCATCAGATATCTAAGGCCGCGCTTGAGATAGCCGCTCCAGTTATTATAGAACTCAATGGTCGGCACTCGAGAATTATGAACAAACGTTTGCTGGTTATATAGCAGGTTATTTTGCTTCTACAGGAAGCAAAAGTGAAGCCTAATTATATATGCAAAATCCACTTCCGGGTACCACGGCGAGATACAAATTACTATAGAAATGTATGAATGTCATATCTTCATTTAATAGAAATGTATGGCGGACAACGTTTACAAACATGGGTTTTCGAATATTTAAGACATTTCGCGACTCCTTACTAACCTCAAGTATTAATCATGGATAAAACAGGTCATGCGAATTGATTCGACATCAAAATGATTCATATAGCTGTAAAATATCGACTTTAGTGTTGATTTAAAAGTTGCACATGCGACAATATATTTTGTACCATCGTTGCCAATGCAAGATAGTTCACTGTTCGCTTTCCAATTTCTGAGGCAGTTATGATCTAGTATACGTTTCAGTTCTTTAGAAATGAGGTGAGTTACTTTTTTATCATTCTTTCTTTATGTTGAGAGATTGTTGACATTTTATTTTTGCTGTAATTTCATTTTTTCATGAGCAAAGTACTACTGATGCTTAAACAAGACAAGTCTATTTAGTTTCTTTCGCACTTTATCTTTAGTTTCCATTTCTGTAGTTGTTTTCCTCAAATGGTATAGTCGCACTTTGCGCTAAATTATTTAAAGAAGTATGATTTTCATTGACATTAAAATCTTACAAATGCGTTCTACACACATTAGGACACTTTAGTAAACTTCTTTTGAAACATCAAGGTAATGTAGCCAGCCAGGTATGAATTTGCAGGCCCTTTAAGAGTGCAAAAGCTGGGTGCATTGTTTAATCTTTATAATCATCTTGGTTTTGGTTGGTCCCTTAGGCAGATTTAAATTATTAACAGCAATATAAGACTGTGTCCACAGTTTATAATTATAAGTGTATCCAATTGTATGCAGTATATCAGTTTCACATTGTCTTGTGCTAATTCCTTTACAGCCATGAATACTGCTTCTCAGCAACAGTTTATTGTCTAGAGCTGTAAATTGGTCAACTGTTCGATTGTTAAAGTCACACTTTACAAGTGGAATAAAGCTCTTGTCTTTCTTATTACTAAAAAACTCGAGACTGATGATCAAACTATTGCTGAAAAGGATTCTAATGTCAACTGCAATTTATATTCATACCATCCCTAACTACATTCATATCTTAAGAATAATTTTAATCTTTTTGGAAAAATATTTAAGGCATTAATATTACATTTATATTAACTACAATCTTCTGGAATTTGCTTAGCTCTTAGAAGAGGAAAATGAAATTTATTGAATGTAAAAAGGCAGTAATATTGTACATGGCTGGCTATATTGCCCAGATGGTGCAAAAGAAAATAAACTGCCCTGTTTGTCATGAAGCAGTCGGTTCAAGAAACCATAAAAATGAGTCTAATTTCCTAACTTTAAAATACAGGGGTAATTTGTTTAAGCTGTTGGCAAGTGTTTTAGTAATATGCAATGAAACAGAGAGGTGCTTTCAGAGAATGTTGGCAGCTACAAATGGAAATTTACTGCAAAGGAAAGGACTTCCTTATGGTATTGCTGTGTCTGTAATGGTGTAGATTTGAGGACCACATTCAAGGATCTCGATGCACACATGTTGAATACTACTGTTCACAAAAATCATATTTACTCATTAAGACCATATCTAAATGTTACAGCAAGGTGCGAGTATACCATTTGAGAAAAACAACTACAACAATGGAAACTAAAGATAAAGTGCGAAAGAAACTAAATAAACTTGTCTTGTTTAAGCATCAGTAGTACTTTGCTCATGAAAAAATAAAGTTACAGCAAAAATAAAATGTCAACAATCTCTCAACATAAAGAAAGAATGACAAAAAAAGTAACTCGTCTCATTTCTAAAGAATTGAAACGTATACTAGATCATAAATGCCTCAGAAATTGGAAAGCGAGCAGTGAACTATCTTGCATTGGCAACGATGGGACAAAATACATTCTCGCATGTGCAACTTTTAAATCAACACTAAAGTCGATATTTTACAGCTATATGAATCATTTTGATGTCGAATCAATTCGCATAACCTGTTTTATCCATGACTAATACTTGAGGTTAGTAAGGAGTCGCGAAAGGTCTTAAATATTCGAAAATCCATGTTTGTAAACGTTATCCGCTTTACATTTCTTTAGTAATTTGTATCTCGACGTGGTACCCGGAAGTGAATTTTGCAAATATAATTAGGCTTCATTTTGCTACCTGTGAAGCTATACCCAGTCTATCATCAGATCAGTGAGGTAAATCCATGACGACGGTCGTCTATGGGGCGCGAAGTGTTTCTTTATTATTTACGGAATTTTTAATGTTTAATTTCAAAATTTATTAAATAACCAAATTTTGTCAATTGATTATTTGATATAACCAAACTTCTGCTAGTCCAAAAAATGGTTATTTGTTAAATAAACATGTTTTGGCAAGTTGGTTATTTGAAATAACCAACCTATTACGTTTGGTTATTTAATAAATAATGAAATTAAACATTAATAATTCCGTAAATAATAAAGAAACACTTCGCGCCCCATAGTCGTCTACCAATGGAAGTCCCTGAAATAGAAAGGTTTAATAAATTGCCATGTTTATTTAGAAATTTCATTCATTAGTATTTAAACTGAAAACTGAAACGCAGTTTTCTCTCTTTATAGGCCAGTTTACACGAGCAATTTTTATATGACAATTTTTATGCGACAAATATATTTGACCGTGTAAACGACACAAAATATATGTAAATATATCTGTTTGCATAGCGATTGATGTATTGCGCCCATTGTAATAATGAACAGTTAATAAAGTAAATGGTTTGAGCCCGGGAGTATCGTTACTTGTTTGTAAATGTAGATCGTCCAGGTTGGTATAGTCCTGAGTGCCAAACATACACGACCAATATAAATTTGAATACAAATTGCAAAAGCATAAACATATAAACAACATCACGACAAACAACACACGAGGCTAACTCTTACTGCAGTGACGGATATAGAGTACGTCAAAATATATTACTGCAGCACATTTTGGCGTATATTTACATTTCTAAACACCTTAGAGGCTAATCCATTGGTAAAATTATATTCTTTAGAAATTAAAAACCAATCGTGTTTTTCTGAATGTAATTTAAATTTAAAATTGAGGAGCTATAATTTATTTTGACGTACACTGGTCCGCCACTGACTCTTAGCAAAAGGTTATTTTTTACAGCTGAAACTTTGATCGTGACTAAAACACCACACGAGTACATACGAGTACATACGAGTACATACGAGTATATACGAGTACATACGAGTACATACGAGTACATACGAGTACATACGAGTAAACATACAAGTACATACGAGTAACATGTGTTTGCCTTTTTTTGTCATTTCAGTGGGTGTTGCTGTTTTCCCAAGAAAAAAAAACTTGAATATCCAGTTTCATAAAAAATATTGAGTCGATAACTCGCATTTTTACTTTTTACAGAGCGATTGTCATTTTCATCGATTTTGACAGTGCTTGAAATACTAAATGCTTGTCATCTCGATATCAATAATTGAACATCCTTAAAGTCTTTGATATGTTTTAAAGGAAAACCGCAGCTTAAGAGCAGATCGACGTAATAATACTTTTGCCCTGAGGATGATGTAGAATTGAAATAAATATACTTCAAAAGATTTTCTTCTTGAAGATAAAACTGACTAGTGAAATGAATTCACCTGAGGTCAAACTAAAGATCTAGGATTTAAACCCGCGAGAAACACGAGTGATGACGACAAATATTTTTTAGGCTTCAATTTCTGGCTTCAGTTATCATTCCAGTTCTTTAAATATTGAGTTCACTGTGAACAATAAGTTTGCCTTAAAAAAAGGTATGTTTTACTTTTTTCAGGAAAACAGCTGAACAGAGATGAAGTGAACGAATTGACAGCCACAGCTTGTTATTTGTTCATACTTCGTGGAAATAGAAACACTTTTTGAATCATACAAGGTATCCATTATAATTTATTTGAAGAACAACATAAAATTCTAAAAATAATTTAAAACAACTTTCTTGTTTTATCGTGTATTTTATGTTTCAAAAGTTATTTTCGACCATTCTGCCATATCCTACAACTTTGCATTTATCAGGACAAAAGCAGGTGGACGCTTTTTGTGCTGCTAAATGATGAGAAATACAAAGTGAACGTTGATCGAAATGTTGATAGTTATCTGGTACGTTTTCTTCCAATGTGCATTTCATGATTTATGTCACGAATGAATTGCTTATTTGTGCACTTTTAGTCTTAAGAAAATTTTTAGTCTTATGTCTGTTTTTGTTCTTTAAATGTCAGATGAATATCGACGGAACTTTTGTGAAATTCCATTCCTCGTCTAACCTTGCAACAAATCTTGTAGAAGCAGCAATAAATGAGAAAAAAGTCTTTGTACAGGTAATTTGTTGTCGCATTAATTTGCAGGTAAATTTATCGTTTACATCTAACGAAATAATTTTTAGAGTTCGTCAAGAAATGGTCAAAATATCAAACTTCAACATTATGGATCAAAGGTATGAATGACTTTCAAAATTAAGGTATTACGTTGAATAAAAACTGTCAATTTAATTCATGGTATTTTTTAACGCGAGTCTTGCTAAGCGAAAGTTCTAATTATTATTTTCAAACCTTTTATCATCCATTGTAAGTTTGATGTCATCGTGATGAATGAAACTCAGAATGATTACTCACGAAATATGAAAGAAAAACCAAAGGTATCGATTTTATGGTTTACATAGCTATTTATACCTTCAATTTTATACATTTTCCCTTTTATTGAATTAAACTAAAGATAATAGTATCAATTTCCCGAGTATATAAAGGGTAAAATATTCTTTTTCTAAATTTCTTGTAAATTTTCATTTTCAGGAGGATTTGACGCCATTTTGGATTCACCAATGCCAGGCACAGTGATCTCAGTTACATGTGAACCAGGACAAGAGGTAGTTTTAAATATTAAAATCAATTGTAGTGCAATTACTTGGTGAGGATACTCTAAAACCTTCACTTTCTCAGGTAGCTGAAGGTCAAGAGGTTTGTGTTGTTGAAACTATGAAAATGTAAGATAGTTGATGCGTTCAGAAATCTGGCCGAATTAAAAAAGTGAACTGTAAACCAGGAGATAAAATATTGGAAGGTGATCGACTTATTGAGCTCGAGTAAAACTGACTTTTAAAGAAACTTTGCTAAACTGGAGTGATCCATAAACACAAGAAAAAAAACAACACTTTCCTGTTCAGACAATATTTGAAGTGAAGAAATTTAATCAACAGTGATTTTCTTGTATCATGTGAATAATTAAAAATGCATTGTTTCAAATATTATAGTTCAACAATGAAGGAAAATATGATATGACTAACCAATACAGCAGAGTACTGTACTTACGTACGATAATTATGTACGTGTATAAATGATTATGATTGTTTTATTGTTTATTTGTTTGTGTGAATTGCGAATATTTAGTTTCAAATGCTAAAGTTCAACAGTGCATGATTGTGAATGAATATTAATTCATGTATAAATCATAAACTATACAATGCCATTGCTTTCAATCAATTCAATAGGATAGTTTCCTTCATCATCCCTTTCCAACCCAAACTTCATTTCATCATTTTTGATGCTAACCCAAGGCATGAGGTCATTTTTAAATGCCTTTCCAATATTTCCATGTCTGTCAATGGCAATTCCTCCTGCGCGTCCGTCAAGTTTGCCAATTTTAAGCAAATCAACAGCATCCTGTACAGTTTCCTTTAATGAAAAAAATAAACAAAAGTTAAAACAAAAAACGGAATATGGGTATTGGTTAAAATTGTATTGTTGAAGTTTAATTTTATAAATTTCTTATTGGACAGTGTTTTATCACGATATCAAAAAAGACAGAAGTTGACCAGTCTTTGAACACTGTGGTAGAAATGTTAGAAATCAACAAAGATATTTTTAAGGCTTAAAATGTTAAAAAAAGAGGGATTGTTTGTTAAAGGAATTTCTTTGAGATTTGAGAAGCGACAAAAGAGTTGGGAAAATAAGTTTTTAATTTAGAGTAGAGCTTGAGATTGCATGTTCAGTGCAATCAAATGTTCTGCCGTGTACACGTATTAATCGACAGCAACATTTTCTTAAACAAAAACATGATTTGGTTTGGGTTTGATATTCTTTTATCTATAAGTTGTTTCTTAAGGATTAACAGTTTGAGGCATGGTCCTTACAACAAAACGAAGTCTATTTGCATGGGGTGAGAAAATCAGTAAACTTTCGAATGTAAAGCGACTTGAATTTGTGTCAAGAAAAGTGCTGAAAAAAAACTTGACTAAATCATATAATTAAATAAGTTGAACGTATCAGTTGATAAAATTGAATGGACTTGATAAATCTAACAATTTTTGTCCACGTCATAAGTTTCATAACCTTACACAAAAAAAGTCAATAGTACATAAAATACAATACATCGAAACAATGAAAATTTTTTAATATTTTGCATTACTTGGGCACTTCCTGCTTCCATGTCAATTACAACTTGTCTTGTAAAGTTCAATTTTATCAATTTCTCTCCAGGACCAGTTGCTGCAGCTGCTCCTTTATCATTAGCATATCCACCACAACCAACTAATGCAGTGTAACTAACACAACCTTTAAGTTTGCCGGCCATACCTCCTAAAATAATGATTAATTATGAATATGATGACATGCAGATAGCGATGTAGAACTGAATTCATGTATGATTTTTTATATAAATACGACCTGTATATTTAGTCATTACCTGTTGACGTTGCACATGCCAGCTTGCCATCTCTATCAATCGCAACAGCACATGCACAATCGCAAGTGTCAGTTTCGTCAGGTCTAATTTCAGGCACATCAGCAGGAAAAGGTCCTCCCTCCATAAAATATTGTGCATAATCATTGAAATATTTATTTGGAAGATATCTCTGTCCATTTAACAATTCATTCGGTTCGCACCAATCCAATCCATTATCCTGAGCAAATTTCAGAGCACCATCACCACTAAGAGCACTATGTGGTGTTTTTTCCATTATTTTTCGAGCAAGACAAACTGGATTTTTGAAATTTCGACCAGAAATTACAGCACCTACAGTAAACAGAAAAGAATTAAAAAGCTTTTTACACTGATTACTCACAATTCCTACAAAATGTAAAAAGCATGTATCATGTTTGCAAATTTCTAATGAAGATGCAGCGGGAAATACATTCTTTTTTTATTTGTTATCAAAAAAATTCAAAGTTAAAGTATCACAAATGGATTTTAACCTGTTCTTAAAGTGTCTCCATCCATAATCATTGCTTCACATTCAACTTCTCCTTCACTGTTCAATGGAGATCCACGACCTATCATGAATAAGTCACTGCTCTCTAAAATACTAACTGCCTTTTCAACAGCATCAACAGCAGTGCCACCATTCTGATGTGATAAAAATAATCATAATGTTAAATACTGTTAATAAAAATTCTGACGAAATTTTTTAAACGAGTTACTTACCGTTAAGACTGCATATCCCTCTCTGGCTGATTCTTTCAGTTTTTCAAGGTATTCATAACTGATATGTTCTCTAATATGTTTGCTATAGACTCCTCCCATGACAATAATTGCGGGGGCTCCATCGAAATCTTAAAAAATTACCCATTATTAAATTTGATGCGTCACTTTAAAGCTGAGCGATTTATAAAATTGTATGGATGATGTTGTTTGCTGATGACATAGATGAATATGCAAAAAGTAAATTTTGTCCTGATTCATGCATATCCCATAGTAAAGTTTTTCCTTTTTATCTTAGTTTAGGAAAAATAAAAGTTGAAATGTCCCGTGCGCACTTTTTTCTTACCACATTTGAGAAAATTGATAATTGATACTAAGACAACTTATCAAAATTTTACTCTGTATTTGGGTTGACTAAAATTGTTTTAGGTTATGTGATTATTTCTTGATGAGAGCAGCAAAAAATAATCCCTCACTCTCAGACACCTCTACTGGAGCATTCTTAGAAGAATCATGGAAAATATCTTGATGTACATAACTGCGTGTCGCTCTTAGACATTTAAATATTGAGTTCACTGGGCTTTAATTAGCGGTTGACGCCAAAAAAAATGGAGGATTTGTTCCATTACCGCTGAGATTTACCGATATTGACTGCTTTTCCAAAAATCTCACAATTTCTCTTTCCCCCCTTGAGAAAGAGTGAGGAAAAAGTATGTGTTTTTCGCATATTTAGCAAGCAATTTTATGATGAAAATCACTTTAAAAACATAAATTTCATAAAAGCGAGTCTACTGTGGTTGCCAGTTGTCGGCTTCTACGACGGATGCCTTTTTTAACTATCGACGAACGAGCTATTTGTTGGCCACATATGAATGCAGATGTGCGCGTCGTAACTGTCGTTTAATGATTTACTCGATCAAAGTTTGTAGTCTGCACGAAATAAAATGTATCAAATTTTATCTCAACGGATCACGAGAGAAATATTAGATCATTTATTCTCATTAGTTTTTTGCTTTCTTTCATGTGATGGCCTTTTTCACAACAATTGTGGGATATGTTTTCGTACATGCATCTCGCGTTTCGTAAATGAATAATGAAAAAAAATATTGTATACAAATCATGAGAACCTTTGAGATTTTTGTGGTCTTCTGTGCATATTTGATTTCGTAGTAATAATTGTGAAATGGCAAAAATGCAAATAATTAAAACACTTAAATTACAATAGTGTTTATAATACTTGAATACATGAATACACAATTGTGAATTTAATACTCCTCTTCTTTTTCTCTTTTTTTTATGTGTTTCCTATTAGCCATGTGAGTTCAAAATTTGATTGACTAATACAGCTTTCACCTCAAAAATAAAGCTTAAGTTCATCATTGAATCTTGAATGCTTCAATATAGCATGCATTACATATAAGTAACAAGAAGAGAATATAATTTTTCTGAAAAGCGATTATTTCAGCGGAAATAGGTCCATTGGCCGCCATTTTTTGGCGTCAGGTCCCACTCCACTTAGCCGCTCCAGTTATTATAGAACTCAATGGTCAAACCAATCACAGTAAGACAAAAATTTAAACGAATTAATTACACGATAGCAATTGGACTCCCTTATCGGTCCGGCCACCCTGCTTATCGGTCGAGATTATTCCAGATGGTCCACTGATCTAGCTATTGACCAATGGAATGGCTTAAATAATTGTTCTTAAACTCCGTTATCGGTCGAACCAGTCGAGCCATCCCGCTTATCTGTCAGCCAGTTAATATAATTCTAAATATGTTTTTATCGACTGATCTGTTTACTAAGGTGGTATTTGTATAAGTTTTCATACATAAAACAGAAATTTGACGATGAAATCGAAACGATTACAGAACGAAAATTTAAAGATGAAAAAAATTGTAATCATGAAATTTAATAAATAATTTTTGAACTATAAACATCGGTCGCGTGACTGATTTGACATACCCTAGATCCGCCCTTGCGGAAAGTATCCTGGGTGTATCTTTGTTTCGCGTGTGCTGACAATATCTTGCAATCTTACAATACACTGAATGGTATTGCAAGCAGACAATTCACGTTTGCGGAATATGATATACACAAATGTACATCATTTTACCAAGTTTTCCTCATGTTGATATGGACTCGCCGAATCGAGACATTAGCGAGCTTTAGCAGTCGCAAAAGCGATCATCATGCAGGCGAATCAACCATCGCTAAACTGGTTTGCCTTTTAATGTGTGTGCACTATATTTTTACGTGTGAAGGTATTCATTTGGTGAACAATTTGAGTAATGTATTCTTATCTGACATCAAAATGGGTTGTTTCTTATCAAGGCAAAGTTATAGGAACGTGCGGCAGCAGTTTGATTAAGAATGGATCGTTGACAGCTCTAAACTTGATACTTGAGATCATTTTTCGTAATCGCAATAGCTAGAGCACAGTTTTTAGAAAGTCATCAAAAGTTAGAGTCAGTCAAAACTTGTTCTGTGTATAAGTGTAGCTAGAAATATGCTTTCCTTCTCATACGTTGAATCGAGCTTTTCGTTTTTTTGATCATTCGTCTTCATTTATTACTTAAACTGGATGTTATATTCATGTAAAATGTTTGTCACGCGCAAGATCATATGCTATACTTTGCAATTTCTGAACCGGAGAAACAGAAGCGCTACAAGTGCTCTGGACAAACAATGCAAAGAATTTATAAAGAAAGAGAGTATTTTTACGATTCCCGAGAAAAAATTGCTTTTGCAAACAAGTAAAAAACCCTATTATGTTCCGACGTTACCAATGGAAAATGCATATAATTTAGCAATATCATTAAAACTAAAGAATTATTTCTATGGCTGTAACTTACAAGGAACACGTTTTTCCATATCAGGTCTTGAGATCCATTCGTTTAACCTCATGATTTTGTGCACCAGAAGAGGAATCTGTACAAAATACTCTTTATAGATGCCTTCCTTCATATATGGTGACGGTTTTGTACGATGCTCGTCCTTCCATTGCTGGTAAACATTTTGTATAAATTTCAAGCAACCTAACCATGTAGCATCGTAGTCTCCCACATTGAAATCACTGAAGACTTCAGGATCAATACGATCTTTCCAATTTTCTAACCTATTTAACTGCTCACGGACATCTGAGCTGAGAGGATGATCTAAATGTATCGGTATCTTTATCTCCGGTTGATTCCCAACTTCACACAGCAAGTCAAACTTTTCTTCATCAGATAGTAGATAAGGGTGTTTTAACGCCTCCTTTGCAGATGGCCTGAGTTCGGGTTTATGTTGTAGCATCCATGAAAGAAGATCATTTAGTTCCACATTACTGATTTTCTTCAAGCCAACAGGTTTTCCATTCAATAAATTTTTAATTATGAACTCTTTAGTACCAAAAGGATGTTTTCCTTTTGTTGCAACAAAGTAAGCCACCATTCCTGCATTCTAAAATAAATTAAACATAACAGAGTACGTAAAATGTAAAAATTAAATTTACGTACAATTTGCAAATAGTAACAACCCAATACCTACCATTATATCAGACTCTGTTTTGTAACGTCCTTTATAAAATGAATTTTTATCAACAATAAAAGATTCAGGGGAAATCCAATGCTGAGTTCCCCTATTAGCTTTGCTTACATATGTCTGAGAGTCATTCTTCATAATTCGACTAATACCAAAATCGGATATCAAAAATTTGCCTCTTGTGTCTCGGAGAACATTGGAAGGTTTCAAATCTCGATGAAGAATGGGACGTGGATCGCTGTGAAGATCAACTAAGCCGTTCAATATTTGCTTCAAAATGTCGGGAAGGGATTTTTGAAGATAATCTAAACTATTTGATTCGGATAGCACAAAATCCTCCAACGATTCTTCACATAGATCGAGAATCAAATGGACATATTCTGTTCCTGTATCTTGTCTCGAGCAATAAAACTTTAGCACATAATCCGACTTCTTATCATTGATTTCATTAAAAATTTTTTCTTCATGTTGTGCCAAATAAGTATTATCACGAAGAATTCGTTTCACTGCTTTACCGTAACCATCCTTTCCCAGTCCAAGATAAACACGGGTTCCATCACTTCCTTTGCCAAGTAAAAACTGTTCTGAGAAAATTACACGTACATCGTCCACATATTTAACCTCAAAATTAGGGTCTTTCCCATACTCAATTAATTTTAAGAACAATTCTTTATGTTTTGTCGATTTATCATTGTATTTCCATTCATGCAGTTGCAATTCTGAAATAGAAGTAAAAGTATTCCATTTAGAGAGAGAGTAATAATTGTAGCTAAATAGTCAAATAATAAATAAATAGCAGTTCTCGAGTTTCCCTATTGCACCAACGATTCAGATAGCAGATACAATTTGTGAAAAAAACTTACAAAAACAACAAATAAACATATTACGACCACTTTTTTAAGCAATGAGTTCTGATAAGAATGGCTCTAAAAAGCTCTTTCTCTTTCATCTTACTTGCTTTCCCTTATTTTCTATAACTAGCTATATCTGAGACTTTCATTGTAAATCATTACTACATAAATGACATTATTTTGGTTTTATCCAGGGGTGGATCAATGCTCATTTGAGAGGAGGGTTGTAGATTTTCCAAGGGAGGGGGTGCATCGTAATCCTAGCTAAAGTTACCAGGGCCCAGTGTGCGAATAGTTGAAAAAAACGATGTGCATTTTTTTTTTGACAAAAATGTTTCTTTGGAGGCATAATCAAATCGATATTAGGCTAATCATTATACAGCGCTAATGCTAAATTGATTATATTTACGACAGTGTTTTTCTTTACAACCGCTGATCCAGTTACAAAATGTATGAGAGAAATTTTTTGCGCGTGTTATTCTCTTTTTTGTGCAAACTTTACAGCGCAATAAATTCATCACTTGGCCATCATCATAGTACTCAACCAAGTCAGCATTTAATGTTTCCATCCATTTTTTTACTGTATTAACTTTGCTGGTAGCTACAACCTTTCGACGAAGATGGCAAGAAAGACAAAAGTGAAAAGAGAAACACCGAATATACTTTTGCCTTCTGATTATTAACAGTAACATCCTTGATGTTTGCTTACACTAAAAAAACATATTTATGTCGTATTACAAGCAATATGTAAAAATAAAAAATATGGCTGCTCAAGGTTGCCTGTTTGGCTTAATATTTTGAGCCAAATTTGGCTTCTTTTTCTCACGTTAGGCTTATTTAAAATCGAAATTCCCTTTGGTTTATTTTTCAAATTTGGCTTATTTAAGTTTTTTTTGTCTTCTTTTAAAAATCAAAATCAAATGTTTCCCGATTTTCATGAAAATACTCAAAATAGCTATGATGTCAAAAACAGTACGTAAAGCTGTAAAAAAACAACGCAAATGCAAAAATTGACTTTAATAATGTATTACACCCCTATTGTCATAAGCATATAAGCACCATGTACGTTGACTGTTGGCAGACTTACCAGTCTCAAAGTGACAACGTTTTTGAATTTGATAACATTGTGCCAACATGGCCTAAGATTTTAATGTCACGATGCGCACTCGTTTATAAAGTAAATATCAGTAAAGATTAAGCTTGAAAACTTTTTTCAATTTATGTGGTAATAATCAATAAAGACATTTTTTGCATATCGTTTGAAAAAGTGATGTGCAATTGTTTTCATTTTAACTAAAACAATGTGCATATTGCAAATTGCACACCGTTAATTTGCACACTGCCAGGGCCCCGGGCTGTTGTGGCATTTTAGGCTTACGGATTAGTGAATTTTGCGAAATGAAAATGTAATTAGCTTTTCTTTTACAAAGTTCAGTAAATTATAACTCAAAGTTCGTATAGCTGTACCATACTTCCTTAAACAATCAACAAAGCTTAATAAATTATGTATCAAAATATTGCCAACGACGAGTGAAACACGAATACAACAGTCGTTTTCACACATGACAAACAAGGGAGAAGAAAATGAACGGCAAACTAAATTGACATGATAAAACTGCTTACTTCGCGTTAAGTAACTTATTTCGATTTTAATGTTTAAATAAAAACACGCATGGTAGTAACTGAATTGCAAATGGTGGTCATATAAAACATGTAATTGTCTTTGAAATGATAACTTCCACTTTTAATTCAGTCCTACTGTACAATTTCTTTACTTCAGATACTGTTATAATATTACTCTACAGAATGTAACACTAATTTCTGTTGGAGGGTACTAGAGAATTTGGGAGGAGAAGATTCGCACCCTCCTGTATTCTCAAAAAAATATGCCCCTAATATTATCCGTCATGTTGCAACTCAAACTTAAATTACAAGTAATTGAGTAAAAAGCTTAACTTGCTTCATTGACTAACCCAATTGATTATATATCTTAAGTTCAAGCCTTTCATTTTCCATAGCAAGATGTTTCTTTTGAGGGTCGTTGATATTAAGGCTGTTTTCACCTCTAAAGTTATCACAAGTTTAACTACACTGTTTAAACTAAACAAATATCTAAATGTTTGTAAGCAGAAACCGCAGATGATCGATAATTGGGGAGGGATCATATTCATAAATACATTTTATAATACGCAGAAAAAAAATAGATTAATTGGATTTCAAAAGAGCTTAATAAAGCATATCCTGCATTCACGAATATTAACCAATTATCGACCTTCTGCAGTCCATATTAAGTTTAAGTTCAATTCATCAAATGGTAAATTTTCGATCACAGCTCAAGATTTACAATTTAAGGATGACCCAGTATTCAGTAACAGATCTTCCCGCGATCATAAGACCACTAACTTTCTATTGCGTGATGTTTCTTTTGAGGGACTTTTTAAAGGGAACACTAATTTAGCTATACGGTCAAAACGGAAAAAAAATTTCCAAATGTTTGTAACTTACTTGAAAAGTGTTCTTCGAGATCTGGTTTTGACTTCCATTCATTTAATCTTATAATTCTGTTCACCAACAGAGGAAGCTCTTGAAAAACTTGTAAGAAATACTTTTTATAATTACCATCACTTTGAAGCCGTTTTAGACGAGGTACATCATTCCAATGCTGGTGAACATTATGTATAAATTGCAAGCAACCTAACCATGTAGCATCGTAGTGTCCCACGTTGAAATCACTGAAGACTTCATGATCAATACGATCCTTCCAATTTTTTAACCCATTTAACTGCTCATGGACATCTGAGTAGAGAGGATGACCTAAATATGGTATCTCTATCTCGGGTTGGTTTCCCGCATCACACATCGAGTCAAACTTACATTCATCGGATTGTAGATAAGGGTGTTTTAATGCCTCGTTGGCAGATGGTCTGAGTTCAGGTCTCAATTGTAGCATCCACGAAAGAAGATCTTTAAGTTCAACATCTACTATGTTTTTCAATTCAACAGGGTTTCCATTCAACAAGTTTTGCAGTCTTGTCGTTCGATCTCCAAAAGGATGTTTCCCTTTTGTTGCAACATAAAAAGCCACCATTCCTGCACTCTAAAATCGTTGAAAAAGTAAAAGCGTGAATAAAATATTAAAGACATATATTTATTATTATTTATATGTATTTTAAAAACGGTTATATTTTAACACATACCATTACATCAGACTCTTTTTTGTAATGTGACTTTTTAATCGACTCATCATCCGGACAATACGATTCGGGAGTAACCCAATAATCAGATCCCCAAATAAGGCCGTGCTTAAATGTCTTATATTCATTTTTCAGTATTCGACTAATACCAAAGTCAGCTATCAGAAATTTGCCTTGGGCATCCCGGAGAACATTGGAAGGCTTTAAATCTCGATGAAGAATAGGATGTGGCTCGCTGTGAAGATGAGCTAAACCTTTTAAAATTTGTCTGAGAATTTTGGGAAGCGATTTTTGAAGACAAGCCAAACTATTTGATTCCGATTGCACAAAATCCTCCAGCGATTCTTCACACAGGTCGAGTATTAAATAAACATATTCTGATGTAATGTCTTCTTCTAAGCAGAAATAATTCACAACATCCTTCGATTTTTTTTCGATGATTTTTTTGAAAATTTTCTTTTCTTGTTGTGTAAGCCCAATGCAGATATCACGAAGTATTCGTTTTACTGCTTTTCCACAGCCATCTTTTCTCAGTCCAAGATAAACACGAGTTCCATCACTTCCTTTGCCGATGCAAAATTCTCCGGAGAAAATTACACGCACATCACTTATATATTCAACATTGACTTTGGGATCTTGTCCATACTTAATCATTTTTAAAAACAATTGATTATGTTTAGTTGACTCATCAACGCATTTCCACTGCAACAACTGCAATTCTGAAATTGGAGTAAAAATATTACTTCTAAAGATTATTGCCCAAATGATTTGGATAGGAATTGAAAGCACATGAACCTAATTACAACCATTTTATAAATAACTCATTAAAGCAATCGGTTCAGGAAAAGTATTATTGATATAATGCATCCACGGGCGAAACTAGAGCGCTAATTGGGGAGAGGGGGGGGGGGAATGAATATTCATACATTCAGCCCTGCTGATTTCTTTTGAAATTAAAATCGCCAACAAAAGAAATGTCTTTATTTCGAAATGTAGAAATGATATTATTTTTTTGTAAATATCTGCATTTTTGTGCGTAGTTTCTTTTGTATTTCTTCAGACCCCCAAATAGAAATAAGTACCATCACTTCTTTATCAGACCAGGTTTCTCCGCGTTTCGACATATTTGCTTAAATAATAAAATAGAGACTTTGTCATGGTGACAAATCTGAAAATAGTTCTAAGCATAGCAAATACCGTGGTGAATGGTAAAAGTAATATAATAAGTTGATAGTTCTTAAAAGAACTGTTCTAAGTAAAGAGCACTAACCCAATAGTTCTAAATTAAACGACACCATGCATTTCGGCAGACTACTCTTCAGGTGTCAACGTCTGCTAAATAAAAATTTACAATCTACCGATATTTATAATGCCAAGAAAGAGTGTACTTCATCTCCAAAAGGGGAGATGACGCTCAAAACAGGGATAAATTAAAAACATAATCCATTTTGTCGGCAGAGGACGGGATAGGTTAACTTATTTAAAACAGCCTCCATGACGCGTAACTGAAAGAATGAACAGCATTTCTTCATGATTCTAAAATTGTCGTCTGAATTAGAATCAGCACAATGGAAGTTATTCAAGAGATGTTTACCTATCGCGGAGTCACATGAAACTAAATTACTTTTCTTACGATCGCGTTTTGGTTGTTGCCTCGAGGGGACCGTTCCATTTCTAATTGAAGTTGGTACATGCTGTTTGATCCTATCACACAACTTTTAACCAAACGTTCTACGTACATAGCGAGCATCACACTCACATTTATATTCATAAATTACATTGCTTAAAAAATGTAAAGGTAGAGATTCTTTTGGACCAGTACTTGCTAATATTTTCGTAGGCTATTATGAGTGTAAGATGTTTGCCTCTTCTGAGCCTCCAGACGTGCTGTGGTACAAACGTTACGTTGACGACATCTTTTCCCTTTTTCGTAAGGAGAAAAATCACCAATTATTTTTACATAAATTCTGTTCTCGTCACCCTTCTTTTAATTATACGTCTGAACATGAAGCAAATTGTCAGTTAGCGTTTTTGGATGTTCTTGTCCATAAACGCAATTGTCAATTCCTTACAAGCATTCATCGCAAGGCAACTTTTACGGGTTTGTACACACGCTTTGACTCTTTTTCTTCACACAGAGAAAAGATTTCTTCAGTAAAGTGTTAAATAAAGGGAATGCTTAGACTGTCATCAAAGGAGTTCATTGAGGGTGATCTCAACTCATTAAAAAAGATATTTTTCTCAAATGGAAACCCGGAAAAAATGCTTGATAAACTTTTCTCATCCACAAAAAATGAGCAGAACAGGCCTTTTGGACCAGCTAAGTGCCCCGTGTACATTAAACTTCCATGGATAGATAAGGCTTCTGATGATCTTGTAAGGGATACTAAAATTACGGAGAATTTGTTTTTTTGCGAGCAACGTTACCTTTATATTTTCGAAAAGAACTATTCTACCACCCACCCCAAAAGAATCTCTACCTTTACATCTTTTAAGCAATGTAATTTATGAATATAAATGTGAGTGTGATGCTCGCTATGTACGTAGAACGTTTGGTTAAAAGTTGTGTGATAGGATCAAACAGCATGTACCAACTTCAATCAGAAATGGAACGGTCCCCTCAAGACAACAACCAAAACGCGATCGTAAGAAAATTAATCTAGTTTCATGTGACTCCGCGATAGGTAAACATCTCTTGAATAACTTCCATTGTGCTGATTCTAATTCAGACGACAATTTTAGAATCATTAAGAAATGCCGTTCATTCTTTCAGTTACGCGTCATGGAGGCTGTTTTAAATAAGTTAACCAATCCCGTCCTCTGCCGACAAAATGGATTATGTTTTTAATTTATCCCTGTTTTGGGCGTCATCTCCATTTTGAAGATGAAGTACACTCTTTCTTGGCATTATAAATATCGGTAGATTGTAAATTTTCATTTAGCAGACGTTGACACTTGGGGAGTCTGCCGAAATGCATTGTGTCGTTTAATTTAGAACTATTGGGTTAGTGCTCTTTACTTAAAACAGTTTTTTTAAGAACTATCAACTTATTATATTACTTTTACCATTCACTATGGTATTTGCTATCTTTAGAACTATTTTCACATATTTGCTAATAACTGTAAAATATTGCTGCAAGCAAACACAGCAAAAACGAAACGCTTGATATGTGTGATCGCACGAAAAGCCTGATTACTAAACAATAAACATGTGATTGATCAAGATTGATCCGATTCTATTCGTGTTGCATGTTCACATTATCATGCGGACTAAACTAATCCGATTCGAGATTCTAAGACCACCTTTTGAGGCGGCCCAAAATATTTCTGATCGAATTCATTTTCGCATCACTTGTAAGTGTTCACATTAGCTCTCATACGAATCGATTTCGAATCGATTTAAAGTGTTAGTGTGAATGGGCCCTAAAGTAGCACAAGTTTCCAAATTGAGAATTCAAATAGCAACATGCAAATCGTCAAAACAACTTATTAACAACCAATATATCATAAACCACTCGTAAAAACAAACAATGCTAGCAAGAGTGAAGCATATTGCTGATAACTGATATAATTGAATACAATGCATCCTGTCTTCAGATTAGGGCAATCAAGCTTTTAAACAGGCAAATTAAGGTAGAATTTTTACGACTAAGACCAACTTTTGTGAAAAAATTAAAGTTATTTTGTCGAAAATATGCCTGTGCGTAAAAAAGAAAGCGTATTCCACACTAAACATTTCTGTGACAAACAACCTGTTTTATACGTCGAATTTTACATGCGTCGAATGCATTTAAAACAAAAGAAATTCAGATAAAATTCCTCAATAGTTTTGTACGCAATCGACTCATGTAAAATGCGACGTAAAAAACAGGCTTTATGTAAATTTTCAATGATGAATTTCAAGTCCTAGCAATAAATCTATAGTTAAGATAAAAGTGTATAGAAAATGGTCGACTCCAAGAAAAAGTTCTCGAAAAGTAGATGCACGCTAAATAACCAAAAACCTTTACTAATTTTAAGCATTTTAGCGTTTTTTTGACATGGCAGACACTTAAAAGTCGGAAAATGCAAAATTTTTTACATCGTTGTTAAAAATCCTTCAAAACAGACCTTTTGAAAAAAATAATCATAAGAAAAACAATTCTATCGTAATGTCAAATTTTTGGCGCACGCGCTGAAAACATGGATTTTTGCGTTTTTGCATCTCATAGATTGCTATATACAACAAATTCACTTTCGAGAATTGGAGTTTATAATTTCATATTGTAATTCATACAATTTCCTGATAATGCATAAATTGAACTTGATGTGATAGAACAAACTTTGTTTGAAATGCACAAACTCAAAAAATCCAAGTTTTGAAAACATTGAGTTTGCCAGAGCGTGCACCAAATTACTTGAAATTTTGATAGGTTGAAATGCACAATCCATATTTTGAATCTGAGTGATTAAATTGCTAATCCAATTATTCTTTTTTGTGCACAGGGCCTGTTTTGAGGGACTGTTAAAAACAGATCATACCAGGATTCCCCGCTTTCAAGAAAGGTACCTCGCCAACGGAGGGGTCAGTTTTTGGACAGCAGCAATTACCCATGTATGGAATCTACAAGTCAACAGAAGATTCTTCTTTGTTGCATCAGTTGTAGTGGCCAAATGTTAAAGTCATTCCATCTTTAACTAAAGGCAAAAAAATCAACTTTGTCATTAGAGTCTCTACTTCAAAAGCATACGAATTTTCATTCATCAAAGTAAATGAAAACTTTCATTTGGAATTTTGAATACTTACTTCACTCGAGAATTTAGATCTACACACACACACACACGATTGAAGACTTACGTTGGCATCATGTGAAGACAATATTAAAGTTCAACAAATTTATAGATATTTTTGTCACGCCTTGCAGCAACGGACCTAAATCTTACATCTGGAAAATTTGATATTTTAGCTTACAAAATGCATTTGAGATGAGTGTGCAGTCCCAGCATGTAGTATGGCAGACGATGATTACACCTCCATTACACACGTGATATTCGTGGTTTCTACCATTGCTTTATCTGCTGCGTAGCAGTGGCGTAGACTGCTTCATCAATAATTGGGAGCCAATACTGATATATGTATGTTGTAATCTCAAGAAAACAATGGATTTCAAAGGAATTTAATACAGATTATAAATGAATATTGCCCCTCCAATTATCGAGCTGGCTACGTCTCTGCTACGTAACCATAGCCTGACATTGTGGATGGGTGATATGATACCATTCATTTGGGGACATCAAAACCAGATTTTCATACCAATTGCACTTTATTTGAACAGTTTGTTACATTTAACAATATACTATACAACAATCAAATTTATCAAAACTTTCTTCCAAGCATATAGGGGTAATTTTACTAATTTTAACAATGATTTCTCCAAAATTGTAAAATCTTGAAAACATTTTCTGAAACACAATGAGGTACTTCATGAGGTAATTGATTGCCAAATGTATAAATGAGTATTAGCAAAACAATACTTGGTGTTTGTATCAATATTGTACACAAATCATTTGTATGATGGTATTGGATATCGACCAATAGATCAACTCCTACCTAGTCTTGTTTAAATAAAAAACAATGTATCTGGCCATAAACATACATGTATTTGACTAAAGTATACAAACTATTTTTATTTTTAACTTTGCTTGTCACATATTTTAGTGCAAAAAGTTACACAAAATAGTGCATTAAATTTGATTACTCATTTCTTTTGTGCTAGCTTTGGCATTTCAGATTTTGGTAGCATTTTCAATTTTATTTTCAGTATAAACAAAATATCACAACTTATTCAAACATAGGTAAAGATTTCACACACATGCAATTCTTCTATTTTGATTATGAAGCATTTGATTCTTTTCAAAATGTCATCAGATCAAAATAACACCTTTCCTTCATGACAGTAGATAAACCTTACAAAATTTTCATGTTATATCTGTAGAGCCCCAAACTGATTTTTTGTATAAGGCTTAAAGATTTAAAATGCTATGATATCTATTATGAACCAAACCCAATCTATACATAATATAAATCCTTAAACAGTTTTTATATGAACATGAAAAACATGTGACTTGGACGAGATTTGAACTTGCACCTTCGGGATACTAGTCCACCGCTCTACCTGTTGAGCTACCTAGCCCACAGGGATTGGAGACAAGTCAAATCTCTTAGGATTTATATTATGAACCAAACCCAATCTATATACAGTTAACACAAGAACTTTTTATTTTGACAATGTCTTAACCTGGCAAAGAAATGAAGAACATAATTCTATTTGATTGTAGATCACACCAGAGAGTTTGAGTACTGATAAATATGTCTTTAAATAAGTATTTTCACAACATTCACAAGACATGTGAACAATGTGGGGAATCTAAATTCAAACAGCAAGTCCTTTGTTTTGCACAAGTGGCATGATTAAGAACTAAATTATATGGCTTGCACTCCCAATGCAATTTACATTCACTATATGTACTTAATAAAACCAAGGCTTACTTCTACTTATAATCTAATTCTTTCATAACGGTTTTTCTTCATTCCAAGAGCTTTGTGACCCATGTTCACGAGGAAGCTAAAATGCAGCATAAGTGTTAACGTTTCATGCATGGTTAGTTATGTTTATAAGCTTCATATTTGTGCATTTATTCTCGTTAGCTTTTACTTTCAGGAAAAAACAATTTGGGTGTTTTTGGCAAAATTATAAGATATCAATGACTGCTAATTTGTCAAGCAAGTGACCCTTATCCATTTTATTGTCACACATGCAGCGCTTACAGCGTTTTACGAACTCTATCTACTTTATTGATTCATGTATTTTTTATTTCCACACATGTCAAGTATTTATCTATGTCATTATCTATTTTACAATCTTGAATACTTCTTACAGTCGTAAACTCATGTTTCTACAGAGGTCAATATATTCTAGTTATTTTTACCACCCAGAAGAGAACACAAACTTAAGGGGCTTGAAACTAAGAAGTTGTTTCTTTATTTACATTAATGTTCACAACACCTATCGCTGATAGAAATAACGCAAAATAGTTCACATACAAACGACGAACCGAAAGATCGAGAAAGATAAAGCCAAGACAAGACTTCCCAAAAGTAATATTTATTAAAAGGTTTACTTACGTGTCAATTTACAACTCTGATACCAACACCATCGTCACAGAGAATGCACAGAATACTAACTTAATTAACTACACCACTGACTATACGACAACTTACTCCCTGGATAAATATTCATAGGGATAACGATTTACGAATGATTAGCAGAGTTGAGACAAACAGTCTGGGGCGAGCGCGGAGCTGACATTTTGGTTCCTACTTGCAAAGTATAATAATAATTAAATTGTCCAGCAAAGTGCGAAGATCATATCTTCATTTAATTTCAAATACCGCACTGCATAAAAAACATTCATATAATAATAATATTAGAAACTGGGTTTATATGCAAAAGGAAAATCAATTTGGGTTTATTCCATGGTAATATCTAATATATCAGGAATAATAGCAAGCTCTTAGCGTTTTCTAAATGATTGTCGGCAGACCTGATTTCATTGATTTGAGCTTCATTCATGGTTTAATAGTTCGTGCTTTAAAATTGATCGTGGCCCATTGTAAGACGTATTTTACGTATGTGAACGTGTTTTTGGGCATGTATTCCGACTCTGTTACAAGTTTTCAAAATCTTTAAGCGTTCTGGTAAGCGGCAATATTATCTTGGCATCAGTGTTATCAAATATTTGGACAAGACTTTTGTTCGACTCATAACAATTTAATGGTAGTGAGTTGTGCATGCCCTCCAATTTGATCCAAGCATGACAGTTTTTATTCTGACAGATTACAAAATTTTCTTGCTCAGGAAAAAATGACAAACTTTTTTAGTTGTTGAAAAATGCAATGATTTGTCCAAGATGAATTTGGCCTTATTTGGTTTTATTTCTTTGTACGAAGAAGTTGATTTTGTGTTTTTCCTGTGATAGTGTGATTATAATTAAAGTTTAATTCTAGTGTAGTTGTTATAGGATTCTGCTAAACATTTTGGTGAAACATTCCTTTAAAATTAATATACTATTTCTTTTACATGAAACATTTCTGTTGTTGAACAGTCTTTTTGCTATAAATGTTACTGTTTGTAGAGTCTTTGATATAGCATTTTAAGTCTAATCCAATCTTTAATTTATCAATCGTTAAATATATTGGTTGAGGAATGACAAAACTTCTGTATGTTTTTTATGACCATACTAGATTGTGTTGGAGGGGGTTCAGCTCCCTTGTTAAAATTCTATGCCTTGTATTGCTAGTGAAATATGTATATCAGAAAGCCAGCAACATTTAAATTTATATCAGAAAGCCAGTAACATTTAATATACATCAGAAGGCCACCATCAGCTGTAATATACATTAAAGAGCCCCCTAGTTGAAATTATGGAAATATGCCTTTGTGGTTATATATAGACCAAACCTTTTATTAAAATCTCATTGACAAGTCTCGAAGAAAAATAAATTATATGTTTTACTTCGAGCTACAGAAGGCAATGTATAATTTTACAATTTATTGCCAATAAAATATTGTACTCGGCAGTTGCAGTGAATATCCTCATTATAATTACTTCATTTTTAATTAATGAAATAAAAAAAAAATACAACATGGAAAATCATAATAGCTTTTTGTGATGTAGTGTAGTTTTCTGTTTTAGTGTAGAAGTGGCTAAGAATTGAGAGGTTTGTAGATTGACCCATTTCAGAACATAATTAGAAATCATAATTCTCTATTGAAAACATGCTTTGTTGTAAGAAAACTATTGAAAAAGCATTAACACGAACTTTTGCAGTTATAGTTGGCACAAAAATGATCCTCTACTTCAGTCAATTGAGTGTGTCTTAAATCAACAATCACCATACGCAATCAAATTTCGTAATTTGGACGTAAAATCAATTCTTTCATTTTTTTTCGTATTCCTTGATTTTGGCGATATGTAATGACATTTAGTCGCCGTCAACGATCAAATTTTACACACTTATCCATAACAAAACGTAATATTATCTCAAAATACAATATCACTAGTAGTAATCTGTATAAACATTACGTGTAATTTCAAAACTAGGAACCAAAATGGCGGAAATTGATCAGGTGATCAATATTGGCCAATCAATGTAAGCATAACGGAGAACAATAGATAATAATAGTCCCAACTCTGTAATAGTCCCAACTCTTACAAATAGATGGCTCTGATGATTAGTGGCTAAAAAATATGGCCGCCGACCCCCGTCTCGCGTTTTTAGGAATTGAATCATTCAATTAAGAAATTTCTAGAGTTGGCACTAATATAATACAATGTTATAATATTTAAAGGTAAAATAAACAAGAATTCAATTAAATTAACGAAACATGCATGAACGCAATTAATAAGCTGGAGTCTCTCGGCAGTGTATTCATACTTTGAATTCCATACACACCAATGATACACACTACAATAATAGAATCAAAGTAAATGGTTTGAACCCGAGAGTATCGTTACATGTTTGTAAATGTAGATCGTCCAGGTTGGTGTAGTCCTGAGCAATGGCGTAGCTAGAGGTCATGCTTGTCATGCTGAGCATGACTTACTTTTTCGGCAATTTTGATTTTTTTCGATAATTAATTCTTTGATTTGTCTGTAAGACGTAGCTTTTGGTTTGCAGGCTTTTACAATAAAGTGCATGGAAGAAATGCGCTTGAGTTTTTGAACTACGCGTTGTGTTACGCAAAAAAGCCCGCAATTAGGGAAAACCTTAGCCACCTGAGCGCTGGATACGTTGCTTATTGATGACGTTTGAAACTCCTACTTCCACTTGAGAGCATGACTTCCTTCGAAAATACGCTTCTTTGATTGGCCAAATTAGGCTAAGTTCTTGCATACTTCCGCCAAAAGTCATGCGGAAGTCATGCCATGAACTCATCGCAGGAGTTTGATTGTTTTGACGATACGCTATTATACGATCGTATAATTACTTCGATTGTTTATTTCGGTCATGGAAGGAGTTGAGCAAAATCAATCGACGATTTCCTTTTCCCCCTTTGATGGTCAGGATATAGTAGCAGAGCTGGTGGAGAGATCGTTTTCCTCACGAAATATTAGTGAGCAGAAACAAATAGCTCGCATGTCAAGGCCGATACCAAAGCTTACACTAAAGACGAATGATAGGAGCTTTCAAGAAAGTTGGTATTCGAACAAGGACTGGCTGTGTGGTAGTGTGAGGAAGAATAGATTGTTTTGCTGGCCATGTCTTTTGTTTCATTCTTCCCCTAGAAAGTCTCCATGGGCTTCAACAGGCTATCATAACATGCATAGTTTTACCATAATTTCTAATTAGCAGCAATTTTAAAAAACACTTGAGAAAAACGACGATTTTTTTGAACGCAAACATGTTTCGACATTATCAGAATGCCATCTTCAGTGCAGAATGGTTAGTGTTAAGTAATATGATACGTAATATGATATGAATAAATTAATTACAATGTATAGCATTATGATTTAGTTACAAAATTATAAAATATTTACAAAAAAGGAAAAGAAAAATAAGTATTAAGAACTTATAACAAAAAATATTATTATAAAGTAAATATAGTGTTGTAGTGGTGAACTTGGATATTTAAATCGGGATTAGTTTTATTAATGTGTAGAGCTTCCTTGATTTTGAGTGAGAAAGTGGATTGATCAGTGTCGATGATTTTAAAACAGGAAGGTGAGAATTTGTTTTTACATGAAGGAGAGGCTTGAAGATGTTTGTAGATAGTGGAGTTTTTGTCTGTGTGAGTATGTTCCTTTATCCTGGTAGATAATTGGCGAGAAGTTTCACCAATATAGCGGGAATTACATCCCGCACATGAAAATTGATAAACTACCATAGATTTGGAAAGTTCGGGAGTGGGTCTTTAAACGAAAATAAAGATTTTATTTTAAAAGGTGTGAAAATAAGTTTAACGTCAATGTCAGTGCAGTAGCGTTTAATGATTTGTGTGAGTTTGCGTTGTGTGTGTCGTGAGTAATCACCTATGTAAGGTAGTTTGAAATAACGTTTATTGTCAGGTTGTTGTATATCGTTAGTGTTAGTTGTGGAGTTAGATGAGTCAGTGCTTTTCTTGTTGTCCAAATAGTGCTGTATAGTGTTGTTGATGAAATGAAAAGGAAAAGAATTACGTTGGAGAGTGAATATTAGTTTCTTTAAATCACGTTGAAAGCCGATGTCTGTGTTGTTAAGTTTCCGTGCTCTGTCGGTCAGTGTTCGTATCAGTCCAATTTTGTAATTTAATGGTGTGAAACTAAAAAAGTTAGTCAGTAGTCCTGTATATGTTGGTTTGTGGTACGTAGAAGTCATACAGTTTTCATGTGATTTAGTAAGTTACTAACAAATAGTAAGATGTCAAGAAAGGGTAACTGATTGTCTTGTTCGGTTTCGTATGTAAAGTTTATGCTTTGATGTTTTTGTTGATGTATTCGTAAAAGAGTAATGCTTCGTCTTTGTTATGAAAAATACAAAAAATGTCGTCAACGTATCTGCAGTAAAATAAAGGTTTGTTGTTGCTGTAGTTATTTAACCAGTTTCGCTCGTGAAAACCCATGAAAATGTTGGCTAGAATGGGTGCCAAGGGTGAGCCCATACTTACCCCGTCAATTTGGTCGTAGTACTTACCGTTAAATAAAAAATGAGTCTCGGCCGTAGTGATGTTAAACAATAGTTTTAGTTCTGTTCTGTTCATTTTAAAAGTAGGGTTGTTGGTAAAAATTAAATCAATAGCAATGTCTATGGTTTCGGTCAGTGGTATGTTGGTAAAAAGGCTTTCAACGTCAAAAGAAATAAAGAATTTGTCATGTGGAGCGTTAGTGTTAAAAGATAAAAAATCGTCAACAAAACTAAAAGAATCTTTAGCAGAATGGTCATTAGGTATTAGGGGTTGGAGTAAAGAGCTGAGGTATTTGGCTAATTTGTAGTTATACGAATTGATTGAAGAAATTATAGGTCTGATAGGAGGTATGTCATTGATATTGTTTAATTTATGAAGTTTAGGTAAACCATATAATCGAGCTGGCTGTGAACCTCTAGGGTACATTTCTTGAAATGATTTTTCGTCTATAGAGTTTTTTTTTCTTTAAGTTACGTAGCAGTCGTTGTAACTTTGCTTCACGGGAAATTGTAGGTCATGATCGAGTGGTTTGAACTTAGATAAATTGTTAAT